AAGTGATCCTAGACCAATATCCCCAACAACTCCGGTATCACTCCTACCAATGGCCTTTACATTGCAAAGCTTCAAAATTAGCTCCATAGAAAACAATTCTATGTCATTGGACGGAAACCATTTCACCAACTTCATTTAGCGGTGTGCAAAGTGATGCGTGACAAATATCCCCAGCTCCAGTCCCACTCTTATGGCCATCACTTCGCAAATTCTCAAACTTAACTTTATACTAGAAAACAATTCCACATAAAGACAATGAAAGTCAACATCATACAGTTCAAATCCAGCTCACTTTCAATTGCATCTCAATCCTCAGATCAGACAATGCACTTACAATTCACATACCAATCCTTCTAGTAATCAGAAAGGCAAGGAGAAATGCTTGCAATGATGAGCTTCAACTTCAAGCAACACTAAGAAGCCAAACAAATAGGGATGGTAATCTTTTATGCCATCGAAAACTGACTCAGCAAGCATGTTGCACATCACTATTCAGTACAAAATTTATTTCTTGGAAAGTCAAAAATGTTAATTAAAGAGCATGAGCCCGCCTTTACCACATCATGTAAGAGATCCAAAAATTTCAAGAACTGAGCACCCAAAAGGGCTAGGACTTTCTTTGTTTCGGGGAGACTTCCTATTTCTTTATCCAAATGACCTGAAAAACATGCAATTTCCACTTTACAAGAAGTCATCCTTGACCAAGCTGAGAGTTCCCCTCTCATAAATCCCAAAAGGGCCCAACTGATGTGGAAAGAGTTGCATGGTTTGATTCCAAGATTTTCAATCTCTGAGCAATGCTAATGAAGATGAGATATAGTAAATTCTGCTTAGTGAGGGAATGCCTATTGGACAGCAGTAGCACTTGACCTGGCTTCTTCAAATTGTCTTTCGTCAGGAATCCAAGGCAAGCACCCTTTAAATTAGAAAGCTCATCCTTCCAGTGCTCTAATATCCAAGAAATGATCTATGGAGAATGTAGATAGTCACCTTCTGTTTTGTCCAGGAAATAGATCCTACAAGCTTATATTACTGTAGAGTTCCCAACCCCAATGTGCAGCCACTACACATGTTCAGTTTCCCAATCTTGAGCTTCCTGGAGAACTCTAGGTCCCACACCGTCCCTCCATCTGCCTGTAATTTTTATTTGCCAAAGCATCCTCTTATCCTCCTAGCTATAAAAAAACCAAGGAACTAGTATCCTTTGATTTGATCCATAGAACAAAAACCATATCCCCACGGCGCACTCTGAGTTCTGTGGATGCCAGGAATCCTCCCTTTCCCTCCTCATATATCCATCTCAAATGGCTCAATTCAATGCTACCCCCCTCATGGACATCTGGCATCATAACAAGCATGAAATAGCATTGCCCAAAAAGTCTCTCCAGAATGGCAGATCACCCTTTTGCCATTTAGAAAGAAGAGCTTTTCTGGAGCTTCCGTGACTAAACCTCTTGAAATAAATAACAGTACTTACTATATGGACAGTTTCTAGTCTTTTCACCATAAATTTTTAAGTAAATTATTCACGTATGTCTCCCGCCCTTTGAACTCAAGAATGCTTCTAACAAGCACGTCCTCCCAAAAACTTTCTCTTGATGAGTTCCCACGAGCTTTCTCCCTTTCCTTGCCATACTATATCAAGCGCATCTGATGCACTAGCATGGACTACTTGATGGATAACAGTACCCAGAGAGATGAGCTCACCATTACACAAGTTTGTTTAATATCTGATTGTACAATATCACTATAGAAGAGCATCTGGTCTTGAGAAACTAGTCGCACCCATGCCCAAAGCAAATTTTACATTTTAATCAATCACGGAATAGGAAGGGGAAGACTTCACAAAAACCTCACATTGCTTAATGAAATCCGACATAAAGCTCATGTTTCTGGAGACCTCGGCAGCAATCCCTTTTAAAAGTATGGGTCCTAACCTTAAATATTAACGATACATGTACTTCAGCGAAATTCATTTAAAAGCAAGGGTTGTCAAATTCACTAACAAGATATACATGATAGATTTATTCTAAATGAAGGGCTATCCAAATCGAATTTTGTTAATTGCATGTTTGCAAAACTAGTATACAAAAGAGAATCAGGTGAGATTTGGTTCCACAAACATGTATTCACATCCCATGTTTGCAAAATCCAACCAAGGTGAATTGAGATCCCAGAATAAATACAGATATCAAGATATAAAGTATGAGATTTTCGTTCCTTTGTATGAGAGTAATCTATTCATCTTTTGGTAAAATTTGTCGCAGAGAAGGAAACAGCTGCCTGTCAGTATTCTGCAACCTCAGCATCCAGTCGAAGGCAGATACAGAAGCTAATTCCAGATCAGTAAATCCAAACAAGGTTTAATTGGCACTAGAAGCACAATTAGTCAGGGTGGGCATAACTTCTTGAACAATCATGGCAGATACATTTTCCCCCTCATGAATGTTCCCTCCATGGTTGCACATGGCAATACCATAAGTGCTTTCCAAGCCACCATCCACCCACTACGAGAAACCTCAACCATTCATCTTTTCTCCACGACCAGTGACTTGCATGATCAAAGGATTATACTTATTACCATAAAAGCATGATCACTTGGCAATATGCGGAATATATCTGCCATTTTATCACTATTTCTACAAGGAAACTGATCGTGTAATCTGCTGTACAAGCATTCACCCTCTGCTATCTTCAAATTACTCAATTAACACCTCCGGTTATTCTCATCAGCATGTATTAGATTTTCTTAATGGATGCGGTACTTCACACTTAAATGCATCATGCATTAGCCCCGATGTTACCATGCTGACGTCCAATTAACAAATCGAACACAAGCTCGTAGTTTGTAACGTTATGAAAAGCTTCAATGAGCATAAAAACCTTATCCCATTTAGATGAGGGGACAAATAAAATCTCACGATACCAAACAAAATGCACTATGGTTTAAATGCATAGAGCAGCACCTTTTGCCCATCCAACCATCAGGTCTCCCACTATCTCTTCCCAGCTACACGACGATCAATCAACAAACAATTCAACTTCAACAACGAGATTAACCATGCCATCAGCCACGACAGCCAAACAAACAAACAGCTTGCCAATACTAAAAATTGACAAAAACACAGCCGGTGCCCACAAAATCAACCTCGAAAAAGACCGAATAACAAAATGCAAAGGATCACATGAAAAGCAACTACTTGGAACGCACGCCCCAGAAGCATGCTCGAATCACAATAGCCGCGAGGCGCGTACCAGGCGATTGGTCTCGGGAAGCGCGAGCCACTGGTTGAAGATTCTGTCGACGAAGCTAGGGTTAGATTTGAGGGCCACGGGGGAGAGCTCGCCGAGCTGCAGCAGGTCCGCGTCGAGGGACGCGACGTCGCCCCCGCCCCCACCCCCGCCGACGACGACCGCAACCGCAATGTCCATGTTCATCGGACCCGGCAACACCAAGCTCTCATCCACGACGGCTCGAGGCGCAAAACGATGCACAGAGAGATCGCCACAAACCCTAGGATCCGAGAACCGGAGGAGGCTACCGGGGGAGCCCGCCGCGCCGCCTCGAACCCGCGCCGGGGACCGCGGTTTCTGCGTACGCGCACGAGGCGATTTCGAGCGTCGCGAATGCCGGCCGCCGGCGGAGGAAAACCCGGTTCGAAATCGACGGAATCTTATCGCTCTCCGAGGAAAGGAACGGGGAGGGGAGGAGGGGAAGAAAGCTGGGAGAGAAAGTGAGGGAAAGCGAGGGAAAGTGAGGGAAAATTCCGGCGTCGGGATTGATGCAATCGGGGAGGAAAATTTTCAATTTTCCCGAGAAAATTTATTCACGGACCAAATCATTTGTAGAGAGAGAGAGAGAGAAGGCGGGGGCTTAAGTAAGCACCTGATGACGGCAGGGGGAGGAAGAAGAAGATGGCTACGGCTTTTGCACGTGACCCGTCACGTGCCGCGGCCCGTTCGGTGGAGATAATATTAAATTTTTATTTTTATTTGTTTTTGTTTTTGTTTTTGCGTGATTTCTCGGTATTTTTGGAGCCAGAAAATATCTGTGAGCTTTCTAAATATGGGTATGCTCTGTATCCTTTTCGTTTTGGTGGGCGAATGCCGGGGCCATAAATTTCGGTGAAAGTGACGCAAGCGATTCTTGAATTTTGATCCGATACGCAATGTGATCTCTAAACTTTTAATTTATTTAATATGGTCCTCGAATTTTAGTCCAGAGTGCAGTCTTGTCCTTAAAATTTTAATTTATTTAATGTAATTTTTGAATTTTCAGTATATGTTTGATTTAACACCTGGAGCATGTGAAAATACTCAATGCAATTCCGTCAATAATCCAAATTTAGAAATAATATTGAACATTTTCATATAGTCCGGGGATTAAATTGAACATAAATAAAAAATTCAGAAATCATATTGAACAAATCAAAAATTCGACGATAACATTACATATTGGGTCGCGTTCATGAACCATTTGTGTCGTATTTTCAAAGTTTCGATATGATTCTATTTACTAAATAACGGCGATCGAACATTTATCCGATTGATTTATATTTGAGAATCTAGATATAGTACGTTGTGAATTGTCAAATCTTTTATCGCATGAGGATCAAAGCACTTCGACCATGGATACGGAATAACTTTCTAATCAACATTAAATTACCGGTAGCCTACCCATTTTTTATTGTTCAATGTAATTCATGAATTTTTACTATATGAAAATGTTCAATTTAGAGACTATATTGAACACAAATAAAAATTTTATAGATTATACTGAACAAATTAAGAGTTTGAGAACGACATTACACATTGGAATAAAGTTTGGGAGTCATATTAAATAAATTAAAACATCAGGGACGATATTACAAATTTATCTAAAGTTTATGGACTATTTTTATCATTTACCCATTTCGTATATTGTATCCTATATCCGAGCCCGAAAATCTGAAGCGGGCTGACCCGGCGCCCCCCGTGCCCGGGTTGTCGGGGCTATTCGGGCCAGGCGTTTCCAGCAACTTCATCTTCTTCGTCCGACAGAGAGAGAGAGAGAGAGGCACTGCAAATGGCTGACCAACCTCGCGTCGACGACGCCGGCGAGAGCCCATTAGCCGAGCTCGAGCTCATCCTGGAGTCCGATCCGCTCATGTGAGTTCGCCGCTCGACACCCTTCTCTCCGTTCATCATTCCCTTCCGAAAGCGCAGAGAAAAGTTCGAGCTTTTGCTTTTCTTTTCTTGCTCTTTCTTGCGATCCGTTCGGTACCATGCTCTTGATAATCGCTTCTTTCTTGATCATATCTTTTCTGGGTATTGGGTCTTGCCTCGTTGCAGCGACGAAGTCGGGTTCATTCACCCGACCCAGCTCGCGTCGCTGAGCGAGGAGGGCGTTGATGCGCCTCCGGGTCCCAAGAATTTGAGATTCTGGAGCAGGGACCGTAAGCTGGGCATTTCGACCGAGGTAGTCTTGCCGTTGTACAAGGAGGCGAAGCGCGCGTTTTTCGATGCGGTCCGAGATTATAAGACGCGTCGCGGCTCGTGCGGCGATGGAGGAGGGGATGGAGGGATCGGAAGTGATGTGATGAAGCATAGCAAGGCTTTGTTGTTGGTGAGCTCTGATTTCGGTACTGCTTGGAATTCAAGGTCTGTTGCTGGTCTTATTGTACTTTGTCATTTGGTTCTCTTTGCTTGAGTCGATATGCGCTTCGGAGTGCCGATGTCATTTGCTAAGCGCGGAAAGACTGCTGTTTTTCATCATACGATAAACTTCATGTTTGGAATTGTAGTGCTTTCCTAGTCAGTCTGGTTTATGTATGTAATGTGAAGGGGAATCTGTCATCCTTGTTGTATGTGTCTTTGTAACGTCATTGTAGGGAAGTTATGTAATGGGCAGGATAATCTTGCCAACATTCCATTTCTATAACAGGAAAAAACTAGTTCCCTTACATTAAAGCATTGGAAGCAGTAGTTTCGGGAAAATTGGCTTGTGAAGCGGATGCTACATCATGTTTCGTGCTAGTGACATCTGCACCGGTGCATATTTTGTTCCCGTGAATTTTCTAATCAGGAAATCCCTTCGGCAATAGTTTAGCTGGGCAATGTGGTGACTAGTACGGAATACTCTGCACTGATGGTCCTGCTAAGTTACATGGCCCAAATTTTGTTTGATAGGATGTGGTTGAGGGCCTTGAGGCCCCACTGTGCTTCTTTCCTGCCTACTAATCTTGGTTTGGAGTGAGCTAAAGCTATGATCATGTTGATTTCCCTGGCTAGTTTCCATTATGATGCCTGGTAATTCTTTGTCCTTGTCATGCTGATAACCTTTTTCCTGATGCCTGGTTATAGTTTCTGATTTCTCAAGCAGAAAACTAGTTGCATCAAAGAAGGAGTGCTTCTCTATGTACATGGATGAACTACGCTTATCAGAACTTATCCTTTCTCATTCTCCTAAATGTGAACAAGCATGGAGCCATAGGTATATACTTGACCTTCTTTTTTCGGTCATCTTACAAAGTGACAATACATGCTTTGACGCCTTAGACTTTTAAAAGATGCTATCCTTGGAAGGAATGTGGGACTCTTGATGATATTGTTGGTCTATTATTTTCATGAAAGGTTAGCTTCACCAAGAGTTAGGTGAAGTGACGCCTACGGTTTGCATTCTACATGTTAATCCTTCACTGGGATTTTGCCTTCTGATGATTCTCATGATTCATTTGCTTTATATGATGTTACTGGGTATATAAACTCATTATAGCATTCCACTTACTTGCTAGGCGTTGGGTGATCAAGAGGATTGCTGGACAAACTTCATCTCTACTGGAGATTGTTATGAAAGAGTCTGAGCTAGTGGAGCAGATAGCTGAGGTTTAATCCGAGTCCAAGAACTGGATACTATTTGATAAAAAAAGGTTCAATAATATTCATGTGATGTGATTGTCTTTTTCATTTTTGCTAGGTGTTATGATGGTCTTATTGCAGTTGTTTTTTAATTATTTGACGGTAGACAGGATGCAACAATATATATATGCACTGCATATGTCCAGGAGACGGCATGGTTATGTGATATTTCTAACTTTGCAGGTGTTCACGTATTGCTTAGTGTAACTTCACTTTGTCTTTTTGAATTTGAAAACTATTAACGTCATGGTAGAGGAATGCCATAGGGAGGGAATGTAGTCAATGTGTCAGCAGGGGACTGTCAACTTTGTACTTGCCACGGTTCTTCTTGATTTCATTGTGATTCCTGTTACTAAATTGCTTTTGTTATTGTTTCATATCTTGTGCTAATTATGTGAATCCTTTTTTTTGGGTGGAAATGTTAGATGTGCTGTTTTTAATGTCTTATCCTTTGTGGGATGCATGTTTGACATAAATTATGTTCAATTGGTTGGTCTTCTTTGCGTTTTGGATGTTTAAAATCTGTTTGGATGAAAATTTTTAAAATTTTAATATACTTACTCAATCGTAGCAAAATAAACTTCAAGAATTGACGTGCGAGCCTTTGACATCAAATGACGAGACAAGTGATGGAATAGAGATCTAGAGGAAGCTTTCTCTGTATTAGTTCAATGAGTTCTTCTCTACGCCTTTCTTTATTCTTATTGTTTGAACCAGTGCAATGTATTAGCTTGGGAGTTGGGACACGCCTTATATATTTTTTTTCTGTGGTAAGTTGATGGTCTTGTGCTTAGAAGTTCTATCATGTGAGATAATGATGGAATTTGCTCTTCTTCTCAGTCTTTATTCAATCGTGTGCAGAGATTAAAAATGAATTACCGTGCCTGGAATCATCGCTGTTGGTTGGTTTCATATATGACAAGGGAACAGGTAAGCATAGAAATGGATCAATTATTACAAAACAAGCTGTTGTTGTATGTTGAAGATTGAATAAATTAAAACCCTTTGTAAAATGCATGTGCACGATGGTTGAAGTTGACTGATTTCAAAATAGTGTCTCTGCTTCTCATTGAGGAGGGGATCATATTATGACACTTACCTGGATTGACTTCGATGGTTTCAATTGGATGCAGTTAGTTACCTCTACTAACAGATGGTGTTGAATATTTTACTCTCAGGTTTTAGATGAATTGAAGAAATCCAAAACTTGGGCCAGCTTGCATGTTGCTGATAGTTCGTCCTTTAATTATCGCAGAGTGAGTTCTCTGTCAAAGAATTTCATACTCCCATTCTGTTGTATCTGATATGATAATTGAATCACATGACCAAATGACAAAAATATGGGCTTTAATGATAGCAAGAATTTTGAAATATTTTCTTCACATACCAAACTGCATAGAATTATGGAAGTGTTAATTTGATAATGAACAAAGAGCGCTTCAAAATTGATTGTTGGACCAACTGTTGATATAGCCTGCCCACACTGAAGGTATTTTTAGCCAAGCGACATCCCAAAATATGGAGTACTCAGTACGGTTCCACTCAAAAATATGTTTTTAGAACTTGCATTTATTCATTATTACAAGTCATGCCGGCAAGCTTCTATGTTGTTGCGACTCTTAGTTCTTGCTGCTTTGCTGCATCGAATTCTGTTGGTTGGGTTTGTCAGATGGAAGGATTGTAATATGTTATTTTAATTATTAAGTGATAACAGCACGATGAAAGGCATTTCATAGTTTGACAATCACGCATAGCTATCAATGTCTATATGCTGCAAAAGGTCATCACTGATCCTGATTTTTGTTTATGTGGTAGCGGCTTATGACGATGATCCTGGAGGATCTCTGCTGCAAGGATGGGGTTGCATCTCATGATTGCAGTTTTGAAGTTTATCAACTTTGGAAGGTGTGACTTTGTAAGTTGCTATAGAGCTCACATTATGTCTATGCATTTCAACCGCGTTTTTTTATTTCACTTGCTCGAATTGTCACAGGATGAGCTTAATTGGGATGAAATTTTGATAAACAGATACATTGGCAGAGAGGTAGAGTCTTCATTCCCTCCCTTTCATTATGTTTTATGCATCTATATTGCCGAAGTTGGACTAAGAAAACAACTAGAGTTTCTACTGCTTTCTAATTGTTTTAGAAAAATGAGCGTCCAACATCTGTCATGAAATCCAAGATTCGGAATGTTCAAAGAAATAATTATCCAACAAATATAGGCTGTCATATCTTAAAGTAGTTGCGCAAGTAGTTTCTTGCAAAACATCATTGTTTGGGATTGCACTAACAAGGGGGCTTATTTTTGCTAGAAATCTGACTATACTTGTTTCACACAAGCTAATAGAACGAGGCCGGATCCACAATGACATGCTCATAATTCATTTGTTCATGCTTTAAGTTCATTAAAATGGTCATTTGGTTTCCTGAGATCTCAGCACTTAAACCTTTACAGGCTTTGTGGCTCTATCGTCGCTTCCTTTCCCTATGCTGGATAAGACATTTCACGACTCATGCCGATTCTATGTCCTGGAATTCCAATTACATTGCTGAACAGACCACGGAGGCCAGCGTCTTCTTGGATAAGGAGCTGGACCTTGTCGGCTCCTGTTTGGTTGTTCAAGATGCTCACTTTGATGATTTCCAAGCGCAAGCACTATATTCCACTACTTACATCTTATGGTTGGCAAAGGTAATAGTCAGTTCATGTGCACAATGCTAGTTCATGCCAGGTTTTGTAGGAATATGAATGAAATTTTGTTTTTCGTACTACGAGCAGAATTTTCTCGTATGCATTTTGAAATTTTCTTCATCTTCTTCTTGGTGACGAGACACCGGTTGTATGCTGATATTCCTTTCTTAATCAGCAAATGTCCAAGCCTCTTGAGATTGAACTCCGACAGAAGCTAACAGCGAGGAATATGAATAACTTGCTGAGAGAATTTTGCCCCAATAGCTCCTTCCTCTGTGGGTCTTCAGCGGAAGATACAGAAGTAACTCGAGCTGCACAAGGACAGAAATAGTCGGAACCATAAGTAAAAGTCAAACTCATTGCTGTCCCTCTGCTCATTTACTGTGTCCAGCTGTTTTACATTTGTCAATTTGGGTGAACCTTTTTGCAGATGTGGAACTCCAATACCTTATCCCTCTTGCGTTTTGCTTTCAGTTTACGGAAGGCGACATCAGTAGTGACAAACATAATCGTTGCCGTTTTTTTTCTTCTGTTGGGTCTGAGCATATTTATCTGATGGATGAGATGGCAAATATGGCAGCTGCTGCTGCTCTTTCTTAGTAAATTTCATAAATTAACTCTGCTGTGGTCGTTTGGAGACTCACATGCCGTCATTGACTTTAAGTGAATTGGACGTCTTGTAGCTCTGTGTAATGAAGCCAATGGTTCTTCAAGCCATTGGGGGATGATAAGTGAGTGATTACTTTAGCCGTTTGTTTTCAGTTGCATAAATTTCGTCAAGCAAATCATATGCTCAAGTATATCAATGTATTCCGAGTCTGAAATTGACGTGCGGATGTCGCATATACTTTGAATATTTGTACAGCTTGTATGATGGTATCCGCTGAAATGACTACGGGGAGAAGATCGAACTATTAATTTTCGAACTTTATACCGGCATAGAGGAATACATCAGAAATTGTGCTAGTTCTCATCCCGTCAAATTTTAGCGATAAACCTGGGGAAAAACGTCATAGAAAAATTTGGTATAGTGATTTTATGCAAAGTGGCACATATATATAGGATGCAGATTAGCTCACTAGGAATAACTAGCAGCAAGTTTTTAATCATGTTGAATGATCAAATGAGTATACACAAAACTAGGAGGTCTGGCAATTGAAAAAGAAGAGTAGGGTGAGAATAGTGAGACATGAACAGGTAATAGAGGGAGAGTGGTTCTTGTTGATACTCCACCCGATCCTCCAGGAGGAATTAGACTCATTATAGTGTGGAAACTGTATTTGGTCTCGCAGAGGCGTGCCCCAACATGTTTTATAAGTTGTAGTTAGTTCTTTCTACCACATCAATCACGTGGTATCGTATATAGTATCTGCAGATAGATCGTACAATCAATCCAGTAAAAGATGCAACAGTACCTGTGTTCCAGTCCCAACTGAGTATACATTGAAACAGGTAGTAAAAAAATACAAATAAACAGCATACAAGATTGGAGGAAGGTTTGGACCACTAGAACTCAGTTTCTCTGCAGCTCATGATCCACTCTTTGGCTGCCATAATTTTCTGCTCACAAAATTACTGAAAAATGCTGTTTGTTCACTTCTACGAATGTCAGTCCGGCAAAATAGGGCAAAATGCTCGCAATTATTTCTCAGTAAACAGTAACAGTCAAAAGCATTGTCGGCGTGAAGTCGGGTAGCCGTCTCGACGACTTGTTCACGCGATTTTGTGTAGGGTAAGGTGGTGCATGTTCCACGCCTTGCCAGCATAAATCCTAGCCGTGACCGCCCATACCCATAACGGTAAAGTGATCGGAGTTTGTTGCCATCCCGGCGGAAGCAATCGACACAAGTTCTGACAACCCCGCGCTTCATCGTCTCTTGGCATTCACATTCTGGGAAATTGGGACAACTTTGTTGCTCGTGGCTAGTCTTGGACAACGACGGGCGTATAGTTTTTTTGTCCTCCGTTCGGGTGAAATGAATCACTAAGCCGTTGCCGACATAAATTCCTGCAGCATATTAACCGTGTGGAACACGGTAAAGAATCAAAATTTCATTTTGGCTAGGGAAGATTAGGCGCGAACTTGAAAACCTGTTGGAAATAATGACAGAGTTCTCTGTTTCTTGATTCAAAAGAGCGAACATAGGCCTGTTCCTGCCATTTGGGCTTTTGTAGTTGGGTTTTGCGGAATGTATATAGAAATCAATTGAACAGTTCCCCCAGCCCACAATGTACGACAAATGTGTATGTGGTGAATAAACATTTTGATTAGGCAGGGGGTTAATGAAATTGAGTGTCATTAACAGTCATAGTTATCCATTTGAATCTGGAATTTGTCGCTGACAATTTATTCGTTGTTAACTTAAGCACTATATGAGTAAGTGTGTTTGGTGAGCCTCGCACGTGATATACGACGGATATGTGGATGTGAATTAGAGGGAAATCATGAGCTCGTTACTCGATCTTATGACCTATGTTTTGATACCATGCCACTTGCCGAGACAAACTTCCTCGCCGCCCAAAAGTTTTAGATGTCAAGAAACAGACTTAAACAAAAACTTGAGATTGTAAATCTCAAGAAATTTACAATTCAAGAACAATATGTGAGTATATAGGAATAAGAGAGCTTTTTAGGTGCACCAACATCCCCATTGACCCAAACCAATCAAGAAATGGCTCATCCGGTTGAAAGATAAAACATTAAAATCACGGTACACGACTTTTGACTTTGTCCTCGTTATCTCATGCGTAATTCAATTAGATTAAGTTAAATCGAAAGGCACGGCCCCTTTAAAAATATCGATCTAATTCTTTATTAAGTATATCGACATCATCTCAGGTCCAAAAGAGGACATGCTACGATCAGAATCAATTGAACAAGCATTATTCTTGGCCAACCGGATTGTAGTGTGCGAGTGAAGTTTTCGTAATCTTGAGGTTTTAGCGAAAGAGAAAAACAAAAATATAAGTAATGAACGAACGACAAGTATTAAATATTTAGTAATAAAAAAAAATGAGCCTCATGAAATTTTTTAAATTTACATAAAGAGGAGCTCTAGAAAGATTAAAAGTGGAGAGGAGATTGACTTTTGGAGGATTAGAGACATGACTGTTGCCTTGTCGTTCATTTTGGGCTGCGGATACTGTTGAAGTAAGCCTCGTCTCCTGGTGGAAAGGAGGGTGTTTAGGAAGAGTTCTCACAAGCTACAGTGCAAATGTTAACTTGAACACCGAGCCGGAGTCGAAAGGCAAAATTTGATTACATGGTATGAACCCGATCGAGGGAAGCTCCGAGTCTCACAAAGTTTTTGGGAAAAGAGAGGATAAAACAGTAATGCAATAGCCAAAGGCACGAGAACCGTACCGTGATGCGAATAAGCGCCATGCATTCCATATCGGAATATATGATCTCCGACGTCCAAATCTTCCGGCATCTCCACCTTCCCCATCGCTTTGCTCTCCATTTTCTGCCCTCGCTTCACACGCTCCGGCTAGTGCTTCGGAGTAGCGGCGCTGCTGAAAGGGTCGATGGAAGACAGAAGAGGAGGGAGGAGGATTTCGGCAGGTCTTGAGAAGAGAAGAGGGGATCAAAGCGAAGAGAAATGAGCTTGGGAGGAGAGGGTCTGAGTCGAGGCACGGACGGGGACTGAGGTGAGGAAGTTCATATATAGACGAGGTGCAAAGCACCCGGAGCCTCTGGTGATCATCCCATGCAACGCCCAAACGCAGTGAGATGATTGAGAGGTGGCCTCCCGTCATCATCTTAGACTTTTCCCCATCCGGTGTCGAATTTGTGCACCAAAGTCAAATGGTACCGAGAATGTTTGGGCAATCCAATTAAGTCTCAATCGCTCGGAAAAGACGGCCCCTCCCCTTTGTCTTCTTGTAGCGCGTTAGACGTGGACTGATTTGAGTCGCACAGGACAACGAACCACACGGCTCGTGCATATGATGACATCATCATTTTAGACACTTTAGTAGTGTCGCCTGTTAAGGATGCGCGCATCCACCGGGAGGCGCGCGTCTGCATGTACCATGGGGTTCCTTAGTCGTCGCCACGACTTCCTTAGGACCCTCGAACGCCTGATGCAAACGAAGAATCCGATCGCATCTCTGGGTTGCTGCACGGTTTTCATTCTCATAAAAGGTGGACCTACTTACACATGAGCTTGGATGGAGGCAGGATTCACTTGCGGAGGTCGGCGAATTGAAATCCAACCTGTGGGTGTAACTCACGCCCGAAGGTTTCGCATTGACGGATGAAAAATTCAAAGGTTACGTCCGTTTTTCCACTTTCCATGAGAAGCTTCCCTAGTGCACGCAAATCATGAAAAGTTACGACCAATTTGGCGCGAGGCCGTGGGTTAGGTGAACGAGTGAGTTGGTATGGAAAAGCACCCACGTACGGGGGCATCAACTCATTAAATTTGTCAATAATAAGACGAATGATGAAGATAAGATGATACTGATATAAGAGGCTTCTTCACTCACGTCGACACCACTTTAGTTTGCATCGACGTGACAGGTACCAAATCGAGGCTGGCACCAAATAAGGGGAAAATGGAACCAGAAAAGAGCATTCATACGAGCGACTTTGACCGTTCCCATATTCTTGGGCCGTAGTTCAGGATATGTACTGTGAAAGGTGGCGTTGTCAATCTATTTATTTCCAAACCATCTTTCATTTTTTCCATTTCTACGTTCTTCTTAACACGTCTCGATTTCTCTGATTCTACTCAAGTAGCGTGAACCGGAGGATCCGATGCGGCTTCACCTCCAACTCCCAAATACAGGAGTAGGTTTTGCGTCGTTGCTCACAAATTGTTACTAGTAGTCATTTCGTAGTGGTACTACAGGTTTTCATTTGAGGGAAAACAGGCTAAACATTATTATCTGACCTCATCGATCTGATCGTTCTAGCAATTTTGCGCCATGGTTGGATCGCATCGTGATTTTCGTAACTTCGATTGGGGTCAAAATTTAACATCTAATGGGACCGGTGCTAATGGGAGGACGGACGCCGCTATACAACATGCCACGAATTCGCGCTTTCTTTTTGAAGACCCATGACTCGCTACGTATATATGTTATGTATATATTTAAAAGCAACTAATCTAATATGACCCTTTTTTTTGTTTAGTGACAACTAATCCAATATGATCATCATAGACAAATGATATGTGATTTCCTGGTTTGAGTTGGGCAACATTCAATTTAAAAAATAAAAATAGATAAAACAATGTGGTCCGACAAAGAGAAGGTGCAACTAGTGTAGTGATAGCAGAATAGTGTTTAGATCGATTATTTGTCCATACCGAATATTCATATGGTTACGTTAAAAATGGCTAGATATGGGCATGCACCATCGGAACTTTTGAGTCGTTCCTCGTCACTTTCCATCACCTTTGTCTCAATCACTTTAGCATTATTGCCTCTTACGTAGTGTCGAATTGGTCATGCTTTTCCATTTGTTGGTGCTACAGCTATATGATCTTTTCCTTGACTTTCTTGCCCCCCACCCCAAACCAATAAATGAATAAATAAATCTTCATGAGCCCAACCAATTTCCAAATCTTTGAAGACCCCGCCATGATTTTATTTTAAGAACAAAGAACCCTTAGATTACATTAGTTTTGATAGTTTCCTAGTACCCATGTGTCAGTCATTGTATACATCTGTTTCGCCGGAAATGTTCTTGCGCCGAAATATAATTCACCGAAAGTAGTTTTTTGATTTTTAATTAGAGGAGACCGGATTCTGTGGTTAATTCCGGACAGGGGGAAAATTACCAAAAAAGTCCTCAACCTATTGGATCTGTGCCAATTCAGTCCTAAACCTTTCAATTTGGCCAATTCAGTCCTAAACCTTTTACATATTGTCCAATTCAGTCCTATTGCCCGGAAAAGTCTGACGTGGGATACCCAGTCAGCGCCGGTCATCCTACGTGGACGACCGGCGCTGATGTGGTTGCCGGAAAATAAAAACGTCATCGTTTTCTTAAAAAAACTAAAAAGACTCCACTTTACCAAAGCCCCAATTTGGATTTCGTCGGATTGCAAACCACAAAATCGTGAAGAACCCTAACTCCTCTTAGAATTTCTCCCTGTTGGGTCTCATCTTGCTACAATCACGATCGTGAACCACAAAATCGTCAAGTCCCCCATTTCCCTCGAGCCGCGTTCTTCTTCCATCAAATCGATAGTGGTCAAGTCCCCCATTTCGCCCAACGCTCGCCCGATTGCGAAGACCCGATTGCGAAGACCGAATCGAGACCCGATTCGTCCGTCACTAATCGATCGAGACCCGATTTGTTCGTCACAAACCGCAACAAACACGAGCAAGTTTGTGGTCCCGGTTTTCTTGTGTTGTCAGCAGTGTCGAGTAAAAGCGACAACTCTACGTGGTGGTCCCGAACTTAGCGAAGAACGGTCAAAAGGTATGTTGTCCTTGTCTTAGTCTAAATAATCCATTTGCCTCAGTTTCTTCGCGCGTGTTGTTTTGTTTGGAAGAGAAATAATCCTTGTCTTCTTGCACTCACCGTCACGTTTCATAGACTACACGATGACTGAGAAGATGTAAGAATCATGCAGGACCATAAGCCATGGAGTTTAAATTCATAAGTCTCAGTCTTGTGATTGAACTGTAAATCAAGTTGAATAAAAAATTAGTTTGCAAATTCTCACTTCGAGCCATTAAAACACAGTATGCTGAGCGTTTTAAACTATATGAGTAAATGCTTTGTCATAACAATTGATAAAAGAAACAAATTTCGATTATCTATCCTACATATAGGTGGATTTTATCATTCTTAACAACTTGCCCTGCTGATATTTTCAATAACCATAATAATATATGCTTAAATAAACATTAGATAGGTGATATGTACTTTATGAGCATTATATGGTGGAGATAGAATACTCGTAGCTGTTTTAGCACTAACTCTTAATAACTTTCAAGCTTATCTCACATGAAAAATTTACAAAGGAAGATATTGTATGCAATTATTTTTGTATGTTATTATGCTGTTTCTCCATTATATATATGTTTATAACGCAAGTTGTGTTTTTGTGTAGAGTCAAGATGAGCGACAAGTTCGCATGGGTCTGCCTTTTCCACGGGGGAAAATTTGTCCATTGCCCAATGCTTAAATATGTTGGGGGGAAGATGGATTTAGTGCAAGTCAATATCAATTCAAGGAGTTACGAAGGGTTTATCAGTGATATAGAAAATGGGGTAAATAGTACATTCCAACACCTTTATTTTAAGTTTCCTGGAAAGTCTATAGAAGATGGATTGAGATACATATGGAATGATAGCAGTGTTGTCGAACTAATTTTCAATTATTTGCATAATGGGTTGATCGAAATATATGGAGAAAACTTTATAGTCGATGAAGTAGGTGAGGATGATGGTCAAGGTGTCGGTGTAGGTGTCGGTGAGGGTGCTGGTCAGGGTACTGGTGAGGGTGCTCGTGATGATGCTGGTTTGGGTGAAGATGTAGTGGTTGAGAATGAGGGTGATTTAGATCACGATGGCTTAGTTCATGAAGATGATTATTCTGGCATAGAGGGTGATGAATTTATGGTGGATGACGATGGGGATGACGAGACAGACTTCTTAGTCGATGCAAGAATTTCGACTGATGATGAAGAACATGATAATGAGGAGCTTCTAGAAGCAAGAAAGAACATCAAAGAGTTCCGTAACAGGGCCACAAAATATTTGATTACAGGAGAACCATCAATAGAATTGGTACCTTCCCAACAATATGTAGTTGATGTGGATAATGTAGTTGATTCTGAAGTTGGTTACCAAACAGAGTACTATGAAACCGATAGAGATGAGAGTTTAGGACTAGAAGATGATGATTTTACTATAAGGAGAAGTAGTTTTCCAAGGTATGATTCTAATTGTGATGTGCCTGTGTTTATCGTGTCTATGATGTTTGATAGTAGCAGGCAATTCAAAGATGCTCTCATAAAGTATTCGGTGGCTGAACGTAGAGAGATAAAATTTATAAAGAATGAAAAGAAATGTGTTAGAGCAAAATGTGTTAGTGAAAGTTGTCTTTGGAGAATCTCTGGATCTATTGATGCTCGTAGTGGATCATTTCATGTGAAGACCTACTATTCAGAACACACTTGTAGCATTAGCTTCAAAAATAACAGAGTGACGAGTTCTTGGTTGGCAAATCACTATCTTGCCACAATAAGAGCAATGCCAACTATTAAACCTAATGCTTTGAGGGAACTTATCAAGGAACAATTGGGCTTAGATGTAAGTATCACTCAATGTACGTACGAAGGCCAAGCTGTTTGCTTATAAAATGTTGATGGGAGACTACAAGAAGGAATATGCAAAGTTGTGGGATTACGCAGAGGAGCTTAGGATGAGCAATCCTGGGAGTACTATTATATTAAAGGTTGAAAAGTCCGATATGCAAACTAAGGCATTGTTTGAGAGAATGTACATTTGTTTTGCTGCTTGTAAGAAAGGATTCCTTGGTGGATGTAGAAAAGTTGTGGGGTTGGATAGTTGCTTCTTGAAAGGAATTTGTCAAGGTCAGATCTTGTGTGCTGTTGGAAGGGATGGAAACGATCAGATGTTCCCAATTGCTTGGGCAGTTGTTAGAGTTGAGAGTACAGACACATGGACTTGGTTCTTGACAAATTTGATGTATGATCTCAATATTATACACACATATGGACAGGGTTGGGTCATAATTAGTGACAAACAGAAGGTAAGTTCCTTATTTATTTATTTTTTGGTTATGCCTATTGGATGGTCAAACTAGTAACATGTGATTTATATTGTAATCATCTTTTACAGGGTCTTCTACAAGCTATGGCTAAGCTGTTGCCTGCAGCTGAGCGTAGGATGTGTGCCAGACACATCTATGCCAATTGGGGCAAGAAGTATAAGGGGATACAGATGCAAAGACTGTTTTGGCAATGTGCTAAGAGTAGTACTATGGCAGAGTATGATGAACACTCTCAAGCATTGAAGAAAATCAGTCCTGCTGCATATCATGACTTGGTTCAAACAGAGCCAAGGCATTGGTCCAGGGCTTTCTTTACTACTAATGTGAAATGTGATATTGTTGACAACAACTTATCTGAGGCATTCAATGGAAGAATTATAAATGTTAGGTGCAAGTCCATTTACAGTATGTTGGAGGACATGCGAATAATGATAATGACAAGGATGCATACACAAAGGGATGCATGTGTTAAGTGGAGAAGGGACTGTGGTTCGAGAATTGTAAGAAAGTTGGAAGAAAATAGAGTTGGTGCAACTTATTGCCAAGTGATATGGAATGGTAATGCTGGATATGAGGTGATGGATAAGGGTGAGAAGCACGTCGTGGATGTGTTCAAGAGAGACTGCTCTTGTAGAAGATGGCAACTAACTGGCATCCCTTGTTCTCATGCCATTTCTGCTATAAATCATAGGCAAGAGGATGCATATGACTATATTGATGAATATTATAAGAAAGCCAAGTTTTTAGTTGCATATGAGAACATGATAATGCCAGTTCAAGGAGAGAAATTTTGGAAAAAGACTAATAGGGAGCCATGATATCTCCTTCTGTATCTCGGGCAGCCATGATATCTCCTTCCCCGATTCTCCTTCGTACATGCTGTTCGTAGAGGAGATTTCAGACCACAATAGCAAAACATGGACGTATCATTGTCAATTGGAGGGACCGACAACCTCGATTGTGACAAATTTGCGGATCTCGTCATGAATTCGTTGGTCTCTTCTTGTGATGACACCTCACTGTCAATTCCAGTGGAATTCGTATTTATGCTTTCAGAATTACAACTGCAGTTTCTTCTTGTGATTCTAACATCTGTAAAGGGAAAAGTAAGGATAGGATAAGACATTGCATCTATAACATTGTGCACTTATCTTTTTGCATAAGCACATATTTATGGGGACTTAGCCAGTCCATTAAAATAGACATATAAACAGGAGAAGCACTTACTACTAAACACGATATAGCTTTTGCCTCAATAACCTTCCAAGTCATAGAGCTTCAAGCTGATTTCCTGGTTATTTAATACAAACCAAACAACCTCCTTAACATTGTGCAATTAATCTGCTGTAATCAGAAATGGTAAATAAAATCAACAATAACCTACTATTGCGTACATGCTAAAACACTCATACTTCATCCTAGTAACACGAAGGACTTTTACACAATCGAAGTATGCGATGTTACTTCCTCTTGATTTTTTAAGGCTAGAACTCAACCAATTATCATCAAAACTTAAGCCGCTTTCTTGACTGAAGAAGTTCAACTAGACCGCAAGTGGATCCAGTATAGCTATTGCAAAAGATGAACAAATGCAGCATCAGATAACATATCAAACAGTTCAACATTACAGGGGAACAAACGATAGGGCTAATCCATATTTGAATATAACCATATAGTGCTCAAAACAACATTTGGCAAGACTTGGAGTATTAAGTATGAACGGAGAAAGAGAACTCCCAACATATATCAAAAGGAAACATAATATTGACTTTCCATATTACAATGCTATTTAGCTCTGGAAAAAGGCCTCTTGCTTTTGCAATGTGCAGTCCATGACTTGTTCATGTACATCCATTTTGGCTACTATCCATACTAAAAGACCTTTCGACAGTTTCAGTCAAAGATATGCAGTCTCCAAGCTATGCATATCTCATCCACTCATGTTAGAGCCCAGAACAATCAAATCCCATAAGAGTACAATCTGCATTCCCCCACCTCCACAAACAAAAATTATATAAAGAAACTGCAAGCCAAAACTTTCGTCTGTCAACAAGGCAAGATTCATATTTCCAAACTTCAACAATTGCATGAGCTTTGGATTTGCATTACCTTCCATAAATAGTTCTTTTGAGTGATCACACAGTTACCCAAAACCATGTAAACAAAGCAAGATTCATGTTTCCAAATCTTCGCGGTTGAGATGAGCGAATCTGAGCGAAGGTACCGAGCGGGCGTCGGGTGAGCGTTGGGCGAAATGGGGGACTTGACCACTATCGATTCAATGGAAGAAGAACGCGGCTCGAGGGAAATGGTAAGAAGTGATCGAATTTGGGAGAAAAAATGAGAGAAATTCGGGTTCTTCGCGATTTTAGAGTTCGCGATTTTGGTCGACTCCAAATTGGGGCTTCACGTAATTTGGGGTTTGGTTCATGAAGGGGAGGACGACGACTGAGAAGACTTGGCTTGACGATTTTGTGGTTCACGATCGTGATTGTAGCAAGATGAGATCCAACAGGGAGAAATTCTAAGAGGAGTTAGGGTTTTTCACGATTTTGTGGTTTGCAATCCGACGAATCCAAATTGGGGCTTTGGTAAAGTGGAGTCTTTTTAGTTTTTTTAAGAAAACGATGACGTTTTTATTTTCCGGCAACCACATCAGCGCCGGTCATCCACGTAGGACGATCGGCGCTGACTGGGTATCCCACGTCAGACTTTTCCGGGCAATAGGACTGAATTGGACAATATGTAAAAGGTTTAGGACTGAATTGGCCAAATTGAAAGGTTTAGGACTGAATTGGCACAAATCCAATAGGTTGAGGACTTTTTTGGTAATTTTCCCTCCGGACAGGAGGTATCTAAGCGTGAGCAAAGAGCCTAACTACTTTCGTAGATAATGCGAATTCCTTGTAATAATGAAATTCAGCTTGTATTTATAAACGACTCAAGTAACTCCGTCCAGTTATTAACTGGTGGTGTCCGAGTTTCTTCAATACAGCATTTTAAACCTACTTGCTTAAAAGGTAAACGACTACAGCTATGGAAAATAAAGGTGCGGTACTAGAAAATAAAGATAATTGAAAGACAGCATTTTGGTTTATGTACACGGGGGCTTTCCTTTGGCAGCCGGGTGCTATTTATAGTGTGGACTCAATAACCGCCTTTTGATATCATGTTCGATAACCACCTATGATCTCATCTTCACCGTCCGTCAAATGACATATGTCCGCCAATTGCCATCGATCTTGTTTTTTGTTCTGACACCCATCCTTACCGAGGCAATAACCGTCATTTGAGCTCTTTATATCCTAACATCTGTCTTTCCTAAAACGATAACCGTCGTTGAGCTTATATCGTCTTGACACATGTCCTTCCCGAAGTGATAACAGTCGTCGAGCTCATATTGTCTTGACACCTGTTCTTCTCGAGGCAGTAACCGCCGTCGAGCTCATATCGTCTTGACACCTGTCCTTCTTGAGGCAGTAACCGTCATCGAGCACATATCGTCTTGACACATGTTCTCCCCGAGATAATAACCGTTGTTGAGCTCATATCGTCTTGACACATGTATTCTCCCCGAGGTGATAACCGTTGTTGAGCTCTTCTCATCCTGACATCAGTCCTTCCTGGGGTGATAAACCGTCATCGAGCTCTTTTCGTATTGACACTTGTCCTTTTTCTTGTCGACAACTTCGATGACTTGAATCCCATGTGATAATTTTCGTCGACAACTTTTAGCGCTCGCTTCTTCTAGGGCTCAAGCTTTTTCAATTTCAAACTCCTGAATTCCCCGCTGGTATCTCTCAGTGCTTGCTAGTTGTTTTGCTTACGTGAGCCGTCTTGTATGGGCTATGTCATCCTTTGACATCTTTTATTATTTTATTTATTTCGGTTGTCGACAACCTAATTAATTATAGGTGTCAACAACATCTTTGTAAAAAAACAAAGAAATTCACTTAAGAGTGATTATGGAACAAACATGTGCTAGTAACCATTAGCAATCTTTTGAGTGAAACAATTCCTCAAACATAGGGTATTCACGGCTCAAAATCTGATTCTATTCTTTCCAACCATTTTTCTAACACGAGGACCTCAGCCTTTATTAATATATTTCACAGCGAGAGTGGATATAATTCAGGTTGTTTTCGTTTGTACTCAAACTCGAACATGCAGCACAAATCTAAAAGTCTCGGCCCCACCTCGCATTCGGAGATGACTTGAAGGGTAAACCTTACTTATGGTCCCTATGATATGGTTTGTCCAATTTGAAGGGTTCACTGTGATTATTGAGCTCTCTCTCTTTGACATCTATCAAGATAGGGGAAACAAGGGAAGGAAAAACAAGGAAAACAAACGGAAGTTCAGTAAATAGTTTGACCAACATTGAGAGTTTTTGGGTTCAACTAGGGATGTGCAAAGGAACCGAGAATTGCCCAGACCGCTCGGAATCGGAACGGACCGGCGATTCTCGTGGGGACTAGTCTAATTCCCGATTTCAATTTACTAAAATCGATAAGTACTAGTCCGGTTCCCGATTCTGCCCACATGACCATCCAAACTGGACTAGTAATATATATAATTTTTAAGAAAAATTTCCAACAAAAAAAAGAAGAAATTTTAAGAAAAATGAAAACCTTAAAATCCATAATTTGAAACTCAACGTCCATCAAATGAGTGATTGTCTCCTCTTACTCTCATCTTGTCTAAGTCGTCTCTCTATCTCTCACTTATGGTCTCGACTCTTAAGCTCAACGTTCATCGACTTACGGCCTCGACTCTCAACTCCCATCAACTCGTCGCATCTCTGGCCGTTCATCGCCTCCCTCTCTCGTTCTCGGTCACCTCCATTTGCGTGAAGCTTGGTGAGACCGGTTCCATAGACCCACCCAGGATCGGACCGTGTGGGTCCATAGAACCAGCAGGTGGTTCCCGATTTCATTTTTTGGAACCGAGTCTTAGTGTGCGCGGTTTCCGGTTCTATGGTGAGAACCACTACCCGAACCATGCTCGCTCTTAGTTCAGGCAAGTAGCCATCGCATACCATGGTCCAGTCAAGCGACAGCGTTTTCGTTTCCACTTTGTCTGCGTCTTCCCTTATCCCAATTGTTATCAGGTCCGCGAAGTCCTCCAGCAAGATTACATTTTTGGGTCACCTCTCGACCGCCAAAACTCCTCCTCTCTTTCCCTCTTCAGCCTCTTCTTCGTTCGCAGACGAGAAGAGAAGAGAGAGCACCAAACCCAAAACCCTGAGGTAAGTAAAGTCGTGTGGTTTCTCTGTCGTAGAAGTTGTCACGTTACAAGTGAGGGGCCAAGAAGCATGGCGCCGCTTGCCTCACTAGAGCTCTTGCCTCAGGCCCTCCCCTTCGCCTCACAGCCAAAACCCACTTCACATTCGCACCGAGTTCGCACCTTTGTTAGGTGTAGAAACACCCATCATCCCAACGAAGCTAAAACCTCCCTAAACCCACCCAAGATCGGTGCTTTTGCTGAGACCAGGCCGACCCATGTCCAGTCCCCTGATTCCAGGGACTCCCATTTGATCAAGCTCCTCGGTAGGTCCTGCAAAGCAGGCAAGTACAGCGAGTCCCTCTACTTCCTCGAGCGCATGGTAAATAGAGGGTATAAGCCTGATGTCATTCTCTGCACAAAGCTCATTAAAGGGTTGTTCGGGTTGAGGAACTTCGAGAAGGCGGTCCGGGTCATGGAGATTCTGGAGAAGTATGGGGAGCCGGACGTGTTCTCGTATAATGCGGTCATTAGTGGCTTTTGCAAGGCGAATCGGATCGAATCCGCCAATAGGGTTCTTCAGAGGATGAGGAGCCGGGGGTTCTCGCCGGATGTCGTCACGTATAATATTATGATTGGGAGTCTTTGTGGTAGGGGGAAGCTCGATTTGGCTCTCAAGGTGTTGGATCAGTTATTGAAGGACAATTGCCTGCCGACTGTGATTACGTTCACTATATTGATAGAGGCGACTATTATGGAGGGCGGGCTTGATGAAGCTCTGAAACTTTTGCATGAGATGTTATCGAGAGGGCTCCGACCAGACATGTACACCTATAATGCGATAATTAGGGGATTGTGCAGAGAAGGGCTGGTGGATCGAGCTCTTGAGTTTATTAAAAGCTCAAATTCTCGGGGTTGCAAACCCGACGTTATATCTTATAATATCCTCCTGAGGGCACTTTTGAATCAAGGGAAATGGGATGATGGTGAGAAATTGGTGGAAGAGATGATGGCGGAAGGTTGTGAACCGAATGTTGTAACCTACAGCATTTTCATTAGCTCTCTGTGCCGTGATGGGAAAATTGAGGATGCGATGAGTGTCTTAAAGGTTATGATTGAGAATGGGTTGACTCCAGATGCTTATAGTTATGATCCACTGATCACTGCATTTTGCAAAGATGGAAAATTAGACAAGGCGATAAAATTTCTAGATCAGATGATATCTAACGGATGCTTGCCAGATATTGTAAACTACAATACAATCCTTGCCACTCTTTGCAAGAATGGAAAGCGTGATCAGGCTTTGGAGATCTTCGCAAAGTTAGATGAAGTCGATTGTTCTCCAAATGTTAGTTCTTATAACACAATGTTTAGCGCGCTTTGGAGCTCTGGAGATAGATATAGGGCTCTGGAGATGATATCAGAAATGGTAAGCAAGGGGATTGACCCCGACTATATCACCTATAATTCGCTCTTATCTTGTTTGTGTAGAGATGGTATGGTGAAGGAGGCTCTAAGTTTGTTGGTAGACATGGAAAGGAGTGGGTTCAATCCAACGGTGATCAGTTATAACATCGTTCTACTTGGGTTGAGCAAAGTGCATAGGATAGATGATGCGATTGAATTGCTGGCTGTCATGGTCGAAAAAGGAATCCGACCGAACGAAACCACTTTTATATTGTTGATTGAAGGGATCAGTTTTGCAGGATGGAGAGCTGAGGCAATGGAATTGGCCAATTCTCTCACCGCCATTGACGCTATATCTAAAGATTCATTTAAGCGTTTGAAAAGAACCTTTCCCATGCTTGGTGCTTACAAAGAGCTTAGTTACATGGAAACTAAGTAGTAACATGAGATCTAGGAGCAATTGTCCCATTTTTAAACTGGTAGAATCCCCTGGATTAGGGTTCAGTTTTGTCTGGAGGACTTCATGCTGTTCTGCGGCACAACCTTGTCAGAAAGTCAGGTCTGTAGACACACATTGATACAGTTTAAGGCAAAAATTTTGTCAGAAGGCGCGAGTCATGACTATAAAAGATGGTATCTGCTGTGATAGGAGAAGTGGTTGGCAGTTCAACATGTGAACCACTGTATGCTCGATGAAAAATGAAACCTCATGCTGTTGCAGATAAACCTGAGTTTTTCATTCAGCGGTACAGGCAATTCACAACAAATTTTTTTTTTGCCGTTTTCTTTTTGGGTTTAGTTTGTCATCCATTTCACCAGGAGAGAGCAACGTGGCCTTGTAGCATACTTGTCCTTTCTCAAGAATACTTTTGGTTCTGTAGCTGTAAATTGATTTGATTGAGTATTGGTTTTCTTGTACTATGTAGTTTAGAACAGACCTCTGTGCGAATTCTCTCTGCGTCCCCTCAACAAACGACGTTGTCGTGTGCAAATTTGAGTTTGTCCAGGAGCCTCGACAAGTTCGGTATTCCATAAACAGAATGAGAAAGAGTTGGAGACCTCTTTCTGTCTCCTGCTAAAGCCTCCTCAGGGAAGTCAGCAGAGGGCATGAGCTGAAAGCAGACAATGTTTCTGTGTTGGAATTGTTCCCTGAGGTGCTAAAATTCAGGATCTTAACATGTTGTCCTCAAGGGGCAAAAGTCACTCAAATGCCACCAGTTTCATGTCATTCCAGCTTTCAAATGAACATCTCCTCCTGCTGAAGGAGCATGTCAATTGCCTGAAGTGAGTGTGAAAAAGATTAAGGTTTGGCTTGCTGTCACTTTTAACATTATTGGGTAATGAGGTTGGGCCTCAGATGAACTTCCAAAATACTTTTGTTCCCCCACTCGGTACAAGGCTCACAAGACACAATAATGTTCAATTTCTAAATTTTTACAATTGGAATTTTTTACTAATTAATTAGGTTTATTTGAGGAGAATTTTCAGCACTGTTGCACAAGATCTTTAACAAGAACAATGAAGGACAGGCTCCTCACTAAGTAAGGTCATCTCAGCTCTGACCTAATTGCGTAATAAGAAAACATCAAACGCGGACATTAGCGTCGAGATAGCATGAAAAAATTACAACTTTCCGTTGCATGATAAATTTCATTAAGACGTTACGATATCCTATTTTTACAACGCAATAAATGGAACCTTAAAAAATGATAAAAAAGTAACAAATGCGATACCACCAAACATACAAGTTACAACACTTTACGACGCAACACTATCTCAATTAAACAATTCATATGTAATCAACTATAAATTTTACCCGCATCATTAAAATTTTACCATTTTTTCTTATCGTGCTTCACATTACGGCCCGATTCTTTCCGGGGTCGCGAGTCATAGAACATGCACGTATCTTAAAAAAACAAGAATTTCTAAGCAGGGGTATTTCCACTTGAGAATAAATATTTCGTTTTTGGAGCTTCCACTGATATATATCTACCTAGAAAAACGGAGCGTCGCTAGCAAAAAACCAAAGTCTCTCTCTTTTCTGCCAAGTTCAAGAAGAAGAAGAAGAAGAAGAAGCAGAGCAAGAAGAGACTGCCATTTCTCAGCTTCTCTCTCTCTCTCTCTCTCTCGATTGAGCAAGTGATGCAGGGATTCGCCGGCGGAGGAGACGGCGGCGGCGCCGAGCTCGCCCACCTCCAGTCCACCCTGCGCGCCATCGAAGCCGCCTGCACCGCCATTCAGGTCCCATCTCTCTCTGTCTCTCTCTCTGTCTGCCTCGAAACGGCTCCGAAATTAGGGGCTGAGTAGCGATGACCCGTCGCCGGAAATCCTGCAATCTCTTTCGCGCTGTTTTTGGATTTGGTTTCGGCCTTCTTGATCGTTTCATTCGATCAAGGCGCGTCTTTTGAGGTTCAAGCGCCAGCGGGAATGATCTTTTCCATGATTTTTTTTCTCCTGGCCTCGTGTTGGTCGTGCTCGGTGTATGAGATTGAGAGCGGTTGTGGGTTATTAGCTAATGGCTTGGAAAAGGGGAATGCTATGCGCTTGGTCGTGATACCCGGCGGCATTGCCTTGTTTCTGCATGAGTGTTGACTGATCAAATGCGTTTCCCAGGTTTTGATTTGTTATGGTGTCACATGTATGATCGATGTGGTCTGCCGGCTCTATACTAGGATTAGCTTATGTTTTGTTCTTCTTCTTCTTCTTGTTTTTATGTTTTGGGTGAAGAGAACTAGGATTAGTTCATGCGCATAAAATCTGGGGCAATTTGAGTGTTTGTGGCACGTGTGATCTGGAACTTGGCTCTAACAAGAAGTGGTCTTTGTCCCACCAGATGCATCAAAACCCAGCAGCAGCTGAAGCTACTATATTGTCTCTGTCTCGATCGCCTCAACCATACAAGGCGTGCCAATTTATTCTGGGTAAGTAAAAGTCTTGGTCACATTCAACACTAGTTATGGATAGGGGGATCTGTTGTATCTTTTGACTTGGCGGTAGAATTTCTTTGGAGAGTTATATGGCAAAGGAAAGCTGTTGAAAGTTTCTGTCACTTGGCAGATAACTGGAAAATAGACTTAGAAATGAGTAATTTTACTTGAGAAGAAATCTCTTGACACTGTCGAGGCTGTCTGCCTCACACAAGCCAAAATTTTTCTCATTCTTTTTCTTGTTGCAAGAATAATGAAGTATTGCTGGAGGGGTACCAGCTAGTAGAGGCATTTTATCATTCTGGTTTATGTATCAGAATCTTCCTGAGCCTAAAGTAATAGCCTAACCTCTTTCTAGAGAATGCCTAAAAGTCCCAATGAAGCATTCCATAGCTGTCTGATCGTGGGGTAGTGGATTTATCGGCAACTTTATTTGGATTCAATGTCTCTTGTTGCTAGTACAGTTTTGTGGATGTTAAAGATTCGGAACATGAATGCTGACCTGGTAACTCAATTTTGGTATTTTAGAAAACTCTCAGGTGGCAAATGCGAGGTTTCAGGCTGCTGGAGCAATACGAGATGCAGCTATCAGAGAATGGGCTTTTCTCACTGCTGAGGACAGGAGAAGCTTGGTTAGGTATTTTTCTTGCTAGATGGAGAAATTCAAGATTAGTAGCCGTTCCCTTGTCAATTTAGTAACTATATTGGTATTACATTTTCATTCGTCTCCTCTTCATGTACGCGGCGCCTAGTGATATCATACTGTCATTTTTCTGATGTAATGTTCATTCTTAAGGATTTCTCACTTAGTTAGTTCTCCTCACATTGAGTTGCTACTTTATTTGCAGTTTTTGTCTTGGCTTTGCTATGCAACATGCGGGTTCACCTGAGGGCTATGTCCTAGTCAAGGTTTCATCAGTGGCTGCTCAGTTGCTTAAAAGAGGCTGGTAAGTTGAACATGTTCTTATTCAGAAGGAATATCTTGGGTTTGTGCTTGGAAGAAAATTTAGTCGGTCACCTCTTTCTTGTTGGCTGACCACCTTAAATTTCTTCTTTTCGGTGTCATGTAAAGTCCGATGCATGTGTAAAGTATAGGTAGCTAACCGCCTTAATTTTTTTCTTTTGGGTATTATGGCGGTAGGCCTTTGGATATTCTCTCCTTTCTGAACTTTTTAGGTCTTTAATAATGATACTTATCACAAAAAGGTAGAGCAAAGTGAACATCACCCCACAAAAAATAATATTTTTGGAGGCAGTGAATTGCAATGTAGCTTCAAGTGCCTCAAGCCACCATCTTACCGAATGGGAGTGCACGTGGAGGCTTTAGCTTCATATAAATCCTTTTTAACAACTTGACCTTAATCATAACTGTCAGCCAAGCTCGAAAAAGCTGCTCAAGATTCTAAAATTGCAAGTAATTGTCTACATTCCACTGTGTGTGATACTTGAATTTCATAGTCGACAACTAGAATGAGGAGAGGGAGATAGAGGTTGGGGAAAGAAAAATAGGGGGGCAGGGGTTGGGGTGGTGCGGTTAGAGTCACTGAGGCTATAGTAGAGCTGTCCACGATTAACTTGAAAAGAGGAGCTTGGGCTTGATATGCATTTCTTGATCAGGTAGAGACATTAAGCTCCTATAGTCATCTTTGGCGTAATGTAGAGCAAGCAATATTCTATCCTGAGAGACAAGTTTTATGCTTTCCTTGTGTCTAACCCAGTGGAGTGCATTTGTCTAGTTATATGGCTAGTTTTCTTCCGTCACTCAGAAGTGCCATATATCTATCAGTAGATGCTTTCTAACAAGATTCCTTTTCGCTATGCATGTAAATATCCTGCAAAGGCATGATTTCTCAACAGCTGAGCAAGAGACGTTTTTTCACCAGGTGTCTTTCCTCTCTAATATCCATAGCTTTGAATATACCCATGTCAAGTTACTTTTGTGCTGTTCTCTTGCACTTAATATGCAATTTCTTATCAGATTTGTAGATCTGGTGTTCTTGCAGATTTTTTTTATAGATAGAAGACTTGATCAATTTCCGTTTTGATGACAAATAGTAATGCACTTAGACACCTAATAAACAGTTTATGTCCGCCCTCTTCCCGATGCCTATATTCTTCAATCCTGTGGGTACAGATTCAAAGTGAGCTAATTGTGGCCCCATTAGCAGTAGACAAATTGTGCTTCTAATTAAGTTCACAAGTTTGTAGCCATTAGAGATGTGTTTGGTGGGCATTGTAATACCAGTTTCTTTTTCAGTGGAGTATGCCTGTACAAGTATCTTTGAGACTCTAGAAGCATCTCTGAGAAAGTTTTAATGTGAGTGTGTTTTTCAACCTCTGATAAATTCATGTTTTTTTTCCTAAGTGCACTTAAATCTTCCCAAATCTTTGGTGAATCACACTAGTAACTACTGGGGCAACTGTCTTTGCTACATTCTCCTTACATCTACATGAACTTTGTTTTCCCTTTTCCTTACTAAATGACATACTCCTGAAAGATGTATAACTACCAAATTTTCCATGGTGCATAATAATTTTTTGCCATTGTCTTGTTCTATGGGTGACATGTTCTTTCTCTTTGCTTTGTCAGTTCTTCCTCTCCTTAATGCATTAATGTCTCTTCCTCCTTAGCTCTCTTTGGTATTCAAGATTTTATGTGAACACTTCATCCTTCGAGCTTATACGGAGGGTGTTCTGTCTTCTGTTTTTAAGAACTTAAAACAGAAAAAGAAAACTGATTAGTCAGATTGGTAGGTCACTGTTTTCAGGGATGATTTAGACATAAGGCTGCTCTCTCTCTCAATCAAATGACGTTTTTTGTTGATTTTACTTGTTGTTGCTGTTATTGGAGGAAAACTCTATGATTATTACCAATGAATCCATTTGATTTGTTGCTTTAAATACTTAGAGTGGGAAACCATGAATTATTTCAAACTTGAAAAATCTGCTTCCATAACATAGTAAATCAAATATAGTGTTTTGTATTATTACCGAAGAATAATGCTTTTAAAATTGTTGTCTGTGAGCCTTGCACCTTACAAGGAGTTTGGTTTATGAGAGATTATGTTGTAATGCATAAGTTTACAATGATGCCTTGAAATTCATATTCCTATTTCTATAGGCCTCTCTTTCGTATACTTTTTCCTATCCCACTCTTTGAACCCGCATGCCATGCTGTTTTAGAATACAACACACACACACACACACACACACACACACACATATTTTTCTCCCTTTTGTGTATCTGACAATCTTCCATCTAAAGATTAAGCAGGCTTCTCTTGGGATTCATGGTATACATGTGCAGTTTATAGGGATCAATTTTTTGGAATCCTTGGTATGTGGAGTTTTTGCAATCTCATATAGTTTTTAGTACATAGTATCTGAATGGCCTTTTTTGCTTGCTTTTGCCCTTAGGATTACTTTTTTGTCCCCCTCAGGTGTCAGAGTTTTCTCCTTCTACATTGAGTGCTATGGGCCTTCCTAGGGAGTTCCATGATCTATGCCGCAGGTCGCTAGAGCTGGACTATTTGAAGGCACGTGTGACTGTTCACTCCTCTTTTCTTATGCTTACTGCAAGTGAAGCTGCCCATATAGAATGGCTGGCTATTCAGACATTTTCCTGCAAATCTTGCATGATGTTATGTGATACCCTATTTATATGTTCTTCACTGTACTTAATGGTAGGTGTTCTATTGTTGGACACGCGATGCTGCTCTAAGCGTTGCAAACAAAATAACTGAGTCTGACTCTGCAGTAAATGAGGTTAAAGTTTGTACAGCTGCACTTCGTCTCATTCTCCAAATTCTGAATTGGGAATTCCAATGCAACTCAAATGGCAAAAAAGGGGTGAATGTTTTCTCAAGTGGAATTAGACATGATACTGCATTGTCCAGCAGGGCTGAGTGCATCTTAGTGCAGGTTTGTTTCCTCAATAGCTTCTCATTATGTGCAACAAGTCTTGCTGGTATATTCAGATAACTGACTTAAAAACTGGGAGAAGAGTGAGGAAATTGTCTGATCATTCTGCATACTATTGGTGCTTGCTGGTTCTTTTCTATTCTTAAGAACTGCTGTAGTTGAATATTTGACCTTTTCATCTGATCCTGTACAATGTTTACCTGTGTCTGGCGGGATGGATTGCCATACTTGGATATATCTCTGCCACTGTATTGATGATGATAGCCTGGTTTTTTTTGCTGTTAATAGCCTGGTCCTGGATGGCGTGACATCTTAATTTCAAGTGGAGATATTGTTTGGCTGTTGAACTTATACACAGCTCTTAGACTGAAGTGTTCCCATGAAGGTTTTTCGATAGACTGCCCAATTGCAGTTTCTGCTCGAAAGCTTATTCTCCAGTACTGTTCTTTGACAGGCACGATATTTCCTTCAGGTACATGCACAACTCAAAATTGAATGTTTAATTTGTTCTTTGACAGGCTCGATATGCCCTATGGTATGTTTTGGTGGGAGTAAGGACCAAGTAAATGCCATCATGAAGACTGATTGATGAATGAATGTCGTGGTTCATTTCTGATGCAAGGCTGGTTGTCTAGTAATAAGCTGTATATCAATATTGTTGCATGAGCCAGTTCCTAGATTGCATTGATATTCTAAAATGGCAAACTGATGTGGCACATTGAATTGCTATTAGGAAATCATGGTATTCAAACCTGAAGTCAAACATATTGTCTGATCTTTTTTATATTTCAGAGTTGTAATCATTGTCAGCTTGTTGAATGAAAATCTTATACAGCTATAAATCGTTTGCCACAACAGCTCCAAACATACCGTATACTTCCGCTCACCACCCAACCCCCCACCCCCCCCCCCCAAAAAAAAAAAGAAAAAAAAAAAATTCCTCCACAACCAAAACAAGTGGCTCTTATCATCAGTTCAGGATTGGCACTTTCCCTGATTTCGTGATTAATCTCTCTTCATTCATGAAATTTAAGCATTTTCCTTTCATTAGCTTTTATTAACATCAGGTCGATAAAGCTGTAAGAATCAGCCATTTCTGTGATTTCCTCTCGATTCTAAAAATTCATTTAGCTGACACTAGTCGTCGTTTAATATGCAGACAATGGACAACTGCAGGAGCATCATCTGCTACAACTGCTTTCAGGGATTATACCATGGATGGACCCACCAGATCTTGTTTCAAAACAGATTGAATGTGGAAAGAGTGAAAGGTCACTTTTCTCTGAATCACCTTCAGCTGCTGGCTGACTATGTTTTTTTTTTTTTTTTTTTTTGGTAAGTAAAGGCTGACTATGTTTTATGTCCCCTCAATTTCTTCTTTCTTGTTTATGCAGTGAGATGCTTGATGGTTGCCGGGCACTGTTGGCTATGGCAACTGTAACAAGTCCAACTATGTTTAACCAACTCCTTAAATCAATTAGGTTATTCTTCTGTTCATGCATAATTCTTGGTGTTATGTAATGATGCGCAGAGCTCTTAATTGCTGGATTGCTACTTGATAGCTGTTATCCATATGTAATGATTGAAACAAGTTGACTTATTCCACTTGTCAGGCCATTTGGTACCTTTACCCTGTTATCTACCTTGATGTGCGAAGTCATAAAAGTCCTCATGACAAAGGACCCTGATGAGGAAACATGGAGCTGGGAGGCACGTGATATCTTACTAGATACCTGGACTGCGCTGCTCATGGTACATTGTCAGTGTTTCATAGCATGCATGCAATGATATCATTTGCGTCTGGAAACATCGAAAGAAATTGCCCAGGATCCATTTTTTAGTAAATTGCTTATCTCTACTCCACAGATGAGGGTGAGTGGTTTTCAAATGATTCAGGTGAATGGCTTAGCATTGGCGGTGTATCAGTAAAATTTACTAATTATAATGAAGGTCTTTATTTGTGAGTTCCGAAAGTTTGATCAGTATAGCCCGAATTCTTTATTTGGATAATCTGATTTACTTTATCTTCTAAAGTTTCTCATTTTCAACCATGAACCATCATTTTAAAACAACTTATTTTCTATTATTAGCCACTGGATAGTGCTGGTGGGATTGTACTGCTTCCACCTGAAGGTGTTGATGCTGCGGCCACCCTCTTCGCATACATTGTAGAATCTGAGCTAAAAGGTAATTATGTAGGTTGTTTGCAGCATCACTTTGTTTCTCGGCCACAAGCATTTGGCTAAATCTTGGTACCACAGCTGCTTCTGCTTCTGCGTTCAATGACGATGCTGACTCAGACTATCTTCATACTTCCATTTCTGGTAAGTCAGTTCAATGTCGGAACTTATTCATCTTTGCCTTTCCTTCGTGGCTTTAGTTCCTTTTGTTAGCATCATGTTTTTATTAGATTTTAATCCCCGACTGTTTTTATTGTCAACCTATTTTTACAGCAATGGATGAAAGGCTAAGCTCTTATGCTCTTATTGGAAGGGCCGCTATTGATGTTGCAATACCTTTGCTCACAAGACATTGCACTGAACGGTTTTCACGTCTGCATCAGGTTCTCTATGATATATTTTGATGGCCTTTGCTCTAGGTGTAGCATTTTCTTTGGTTATTTTTTTCCTGGGAAGTATTTGGATGGCTAGTACTTGACATGGAGATTGATTGTTGAATTTTAATTCGCTATCCAAACTGCTATCCTATATTTGATTCAGTTACTCCCTGTGCCATATTAGGATCTGCTGAGATTGGACATTTCCCAATTTGACTTATGTTACTCAATTTTCTGCTCACCGACTTGTGAGGTAATTGAAAGATTAGGTTCCCATAGGTGGTTGGTTTTCTTGGTAAAAATACTGTGCTAGTGCACAAACAAAAATGCAACTTTAGGTGGAATATTCCATATCTGTAAATGACATAGAGACTATGCTTGGAAAGGAGATTGGAAAATAGAAGGAAGGTTTTGGAGGAAGTGTCAGTAAAGCATCCAGGTTAACTTCCGTGTTTCTCCAAGTCATTTAGTGTTTATTGTCTTCTTTTGTCTGATCTAGGGATCTATCCAAAAGCAGTTAAAAGTTTGGTGTATTTATAAGTACAGAACCTGGATGGATGTATGTGATGAGGGATGTTCAGAAGTATAAATCTGTTATTAGCCAGTCAATTCATAGTTATATGCGCGATGCAATTACCATGCTATGGGCTGCTTTGATAAAAATCTTGGATTCTTTTCCCTTTAAAATATTTCTTATTTGTGTCTTGCCTTTTCCTAATAAATTTTCACGTTTCTTCCATTCTCACTGTTTGTGCCTTATCTCCTAAATTTTACCCAATATGTAGGGCGGGGGCTCTTTCGATCCAACTGAAACCTTGGAAGAACTCTACTCTTTGTTACTAATAACGGGTCATGTACTTGCTGATGAAGGCGAAGGAGAGACACCCCTGGTACATTGTCAATGTTTTCCTTCAAACTGTTATTTTTTTACTACAAACATAAAGTTTATCCTTGGTAAATTCTTTGAAGAAAATAACTGTTGCTTTTGATTAAATTGATTATTTTTGCAATGATGAGATTCCTTTATTTGGCATTGTGTTTCGTTGCCTATTCATCACAATATTGTTCTTGTTAGAGAGAGGTATACGTTTGTGATGCAACAAGAAGTTTGAGCTTTGCCACGAGTTTTACAGTCCTTTTGGTTAAACATCCACTCGGAAATGGCTACTTCTCTCTTTGAAATTGTTGGTCCTGCTTATAGAGAAAAAAGACAAGCTCTCTGTGCTTAAAGGGTGTCTTATGATTACCAATTAAATGTCAGCTTCAATACACACTTCTTGCTAAGCAATTTTTAAAAACACCCAGCTTATGTGAGCCTAACCCAATCCATTTGAGCTGTTAGATGATGTGGGTCTCACAATGACCCAGCAAATTTGACAGCTCACATGACTTGCATGAACCTTGTGTAAAAAATGATTTTTGCTCCTTGCTTTTCTTTTGTCAGTTTCATGAGATGCATGTCACAGTCTTACTTTGCCATCTGCATACTTTGCCATCTTGCAGTTGTCTGTTGTTCCTTTACTAACCCTGGAAAAATCCTTCTAATCTAGAATCCACTATAGTGCCGTGAAATCAAATTGGCATGCATGGATGGGGCCAAATATGTCTGATATTAAGCATGCACAAGAGTTCCAAGCCCCTCGCCATCAATTTTCTTCCTGAGAATTGGATGAACCAAATTTCACCAGAGTTTTGTAAAGCAGTTCACTGCAGAAAATGAACCTTTTTTCATGTATTAATCTTTGACAGCACTTCTGATGTCAGACATGCTCCTGTCGTGCAATAGAAAGCAAAGATGGGCTGATGAAGAAATGCTAGAATGAGACTAGATTTGACAATGTATTAATCAATGATGGGGGACAATCAATTGAGGATAAGATAATAGAAACTTGTTTGATGTGGTTTTGACATATGAAATTTGAGGTGTTCGGATGCTTTAAAAAGAAGCCACAAGTTTACCATCTCGACTCCATCCAGAAGACATAGGTGAGGTCTGAGAACACATGAGATCTTCAAAAGGACATAAGAACACGGTGACGGTAGAGCAAAATGGCATAAGATACATGTTCTGGATCGTAGTAGTGACAAAATGCTTGTTGCTCATACATGTTTGCCATGCAAACCATTTCCATGTTAAGACAGCTCCTCATTAAAGATAATGCGAGAAATGCTTTTCTTTATTAAAGGTTAAGGATGACATATTCAAATAGTAACCCCATAACTTGACTGTTTGTGCTTATGCAATGTGATTGCAGGTTCCAATTGCTATACAAAGGCATATTGCGGACTTTGTGGAACCAGATAAAAATCCTGTTGTCATCCTTTGTAGGTACTTTTCATTATTTACCTTATGAGACAATGGCGCATACATCTATGTGTAGTAGATTAAACATTCAAACAATTCCCTTGACAAAATTTTAGTCATATATTGCATCCTCTTTGTACTAAAGGGCATACAAGGGCATAAACAACAGTGGTTTTGTGAAAATCTATCCTTTCTAACTTTTCCTACTGAAGTCTTCTGCTTCAAGTCTAGTTCCAGCCATCTGATAGCATTATCAGCACTTTCTCCTTCTGACTTTCTTTGCTTCCACGCAACTGTCAGACTCTGCAGAGAATAACTCAAGTATGAATTTGTCCTCTAGTCATGTCTTGTGTGCGCTCGTGCCGGATCATGACTCTTAACACATTTGACATGTCATGTTGCGCAAACAAATCGTCATACCTGAAAGTTTCAGGTGTATGATGAAATATCTGTTCCTCATCAAGAAAGTACCTGATACTTGCTGGTGTAATATTGGGTTGTCCAACAATGGATGGTGCTGGACGAAGATGCTTGCTGCTATAAATTCTCATTAGACATCCACAGTTGATTAATCATTTTATTAATCTACTATTGGTCATAAGATGTGTAAATGCTCCTGTTCTGGTTCTACAATAAATCGAGATTGCTATATATGCAAATAAATCTTGTGACTGTTCTTTGTTTGTAGCTGAAGTAATTGAAAAGAGGCAATGTACGCTTGTTCTCCTGCATGCTTAATTTAATTGTCTGGCCTATTAGCTGCGCTACACAGCTTGGAGAGATAGTAAGCCTTCAATGCAGTCGCAGTAATGTAAAGCTGACTAATTTGCCAATGCAACGATGTGTTTTTTGTTATCCACTTTCATAGTTTACCTTACAGGATAGCGATGCTACCAGAGCATGTTTTATTCTGTCTAAAGAGATTGATTGGTCCTTCACGTGGGATATTTTTATTTGATTCTCCTTTGTTGTTGCAGCTCAATCATCAGGTTTGCTGAACAAAGCTTCAATCCGGAAAGTAGATCATCATATTTCAGTCCTCGACTTATGGAGGTACATCTCAAGTTCATTCCCTGTTAATTTGGGTGCACTTTGTTCCTATTTACCTATAGAAGATATGTTCACTGGATGTAAGTTGGTATTCAATTTAACAATTACTTTAGGACGTTGTGCAAGAGTTTCTTATCAGTCCAAACATGCAAGTAGTAATATGAGCCACAGCATGTATATTAGGGTCAAGTATGTATTTGACCCTTCGCCAGAAGATAGTGGCAGTAGATACACAGAAAAATTGCATGTCACCATATCTATTGTCACATATAAAATTCTTGGTTGCATCCTTTTTCAAATATCATGTGGCCATGTCTACAAAATTATTCTTCAATCAAACTACACATTGTTGGCATGCTTGAACTTGTATGGGTTTTTCACTTTGCACTAGCCTTGCTCTTGATTTATGTGTTGAAGCAAATGCTTTTAGGCTATAATATGGTTCCTTGCAAGATGGTCCCAAACTTATCTAATGTCACCGGAAGAATCTCAAGACAGCAGTTACAGTTCAAAAGCTGATAATAGGCACCAAGTGCAGTCAACAGGTTCTGGGCGAACTGTACTCAGATATTTCAATGAGTATGATCATGGCAAGACTGTGCTTGACATCATTATCCGGGTAGCCATAGCAACATTCATGTACTATCCAGGGGAGAAGTTTTTGCAGGTACAGTCACTGGTTAAGCTTCTCTCTAGCTAGTATACGCATGAACACTTCCTATCCCAGAAAAAATTCTCTTTTTATATGTAAATTTCTGTTTTATGCGCTGTGATTTGCATAGGTTAACGTGCCATAATAAAAAGGGAGCTACTGTTGCTTTACAGTTTTTCACAGATATTTTAGCTCACGTTTTCTTGCAATTCCTTTGGTTCCTGAAGAGTAACTACGTAATTTGTGTCAGGCCCTAGATGTTGGTATTTGGGTGTCTTTATTTACTGTTATAATACAAATATGACAAATAGAACTCTCCAGTGCCCCCAGCCGAAAGAGGATAGAAAAAAACAAGAATGTTCTGCTTCCTTGTGCATATCCAATTGAGGGAAGTAGAGCAACTTGATGGAAGTAACTGAAGAGAAATAGCTTTTAGTTTATGAGCATGCATTAAAAAACAGAAGAAGGTGACAGGAATAGGCAAAATGAATGAGAGGGAGGAATTGAGAAAGAAAAAAAGAAACAAGATGGAATCATTAGAACTCATCACAGAAGAAATGAAATAGTGTTCAGTCACGCATTAGGAAAACAAAAGGTGACAATAATAGGCAAAAAGAACGACAGAGAGAGATTGGAAGAGGAAAAAGAGAATAACACGACGGAAGCATTAGAACTCATTGCAGAAGAGAGGCATATTCTGCAGATCGCTCCAGCAAATTTCTGATGAACTGCTATTTGTGTTCTATCTGTGGCATTTTGACTTGCTTAAGTGATGCATATTTTTTTTTCAAGTACAATATGATGCATTGTGTGATGGTTGTTCGCATTTGTGCTGAAATTGCTCTCTCTCTCTCTCCTGCTTCAAGGATACTTCTGTTTCCCACGATTAGGGCATTGCCCCGGACCCACTGTGTTCTTCAATATGTTAGAAACTTTTTAAAAAGGATGGACTAATTAAGTACTTTTTTAATTTTTATAGGGCCTGACCTGTTACCAGCTGCTTCATGCACTAGTTAGGCAAAAGAACATATGCATCCACCTTGTAACGCTGGTAAGCTACTTAATTTTTATCTTGTTGTCAATAACTGTGAATATCTGGTAAGTAGATACTTCGAGAAACATAAAATTTTTGTTATTTTGGCATAAATGTCAGTCTGTCTTAATTTATTTCACAGGAATCCTGGAGCAAGCTGGCTATTGCTTTTGCTAATGAGAAAATGCTGTTTATGTTGAATGGATCTCACCAGGTAGGAATTGTAGTTTTTTCGAATGGGTTATAGTACTTTCTCATTTTCCTGAACGTCTTCTCTCTCTTTGTTAGAAATCCTTGGCTCAAACACTTGTTCTTTCTGCAACTGGCTTTAGAGATTCTGAGTCAGCAAATCAGTGAGTGCAGTTCTCCTCTTTGTTCAGGAATGATTTAAAGCGTTGATTGTGTGCCCTCAGGACTAATGCCAAAGTTTGTTCTCAGGTATGTGAGAAATCTTATGGGGCATATGACAACACACCTAGTAGAGATATCCTCCAAGAATGACTTCAAAAGAGTTGCTGAACAGCCAGATATTATCCTGTCGGTAAGGGATGTATTCTTTTTACACCAACATGCAGCAACAAGCTCCAATTGTTTGCACACCTGTCGGTCACCATTTTCTTCCTCATTTTTCATTGAAGTGGCCTCATGCAGGTTACTTGCCTGTTGGAACGGCTTCGTGGAGCTGCCAGTGCATCGGAACCTCGAATGCAGAAGTCCATTTATGAGATGGGGTTTTCAATATTAAATTCTACTTTGATTCTTCTTGAAGTTTATAAGCATGAGGTATTCATGTATAAACTTAGCAAAACCTCCCCATGTTAAGTCGTTGTTCAAGTAAGATGAAATCCGCATCATAGCAAAAGAATTTAGGTCCAGCAGATTACTGATTTATGTTTATGTAGTTAGAAATTCATAGTTGTTTTCTCATTAAAAGAAGAAAATATAATTTTCTTTTATGGTGTTAACTTCTGGTAGCACAAGTGGCTCTTAGTTTCTAGTTTATGCAGCTCTGTGAATCCCTTTGCAGTTTTCCTCAACAACCGACGCTGAAATAGCAAATCCTGTCTTTAAGATTAAAAATCAAGTTGTGGCATACTCAAATTCATAGAACATTTCTTGACTTAGAGAATGATGAAAAGGATTTCCATTGTCATTATTGGCAGACTGCCTACTATTGTACTCACAATCTTATGTTCTGTAATGGGATATTTCTCTTAGATTGTGATGTCAATGTATTCTTTTATTCCGCTTTTGAGCTGCAGTAGATACACGCTTGACTGAAGTATCGTATTGGATGCCTAAGGTTTATTTGAGACTAACCCCTTTTTATCGTGTAGTCTGCAGTTATTTATTTGCTGCTCAAGTTTGTTGTTGAATGGGTGGAGGGACAAATTACCTACCTTGAAGCACAAGAGACCACAGTTGTTATTGATTACTGCATGCGCTTACTTCAACTTTACTCATCTCACAATATTGGCAAGGTAAGAAAACTATCTGTAGGTAGACTCTTCTTGTTGGCTGGCTGAATTTCTCTGTAAGATTGTGAAGAAGTCTTCATTGAAGCCTTTGACTAAATATTCATTCCAGGACCTCTTACCTTTTCCATCTCTCATTTCACTTTTGTAGTTTCCTTAATTAACAAGAGGACCTTGTAATGACTCACTGTACCCCCATATCATGTCCAAACTTGGATTCTTTTCTGAAAATCATGCTGTTCTTGTGACAGATTTTATTTATGTTCCAGTTGCAGTGTTCATACTTCTTCTGTTACTATCTTAAGGGTTTAGCATCATATTATTGTGATTATTTTGGTTTTGTCCCTTGTTCCCAGATTTCTTTAAGTCTGTCAAGCAGCTTACTCAGTGATGCAAAAACAGAGAAATACAAAGATCTGCGTGCTCTGCTTCAACTCCTTTCTAGCCTTTGTTCAAAAGATCTGGTACTGACATTTCTGTTCATTCATTATTTCATGTTTTGCCTTTCCTAATGTTATCTGTATTTTGCTATGGCAAATCATTTACTCTTCCATACTTGATCAAGTGTAGGTTGATTTTTCATCGGATTCTTTGGAAGCCCATGGAACAAGCATATCTCAGGTGAATCTTATGATGCAAAGCACCAAGAGTTGTGTTGGATGGTGTCTAATTATCGACTTTGCAGGTTGTCTTCTATGGTCTTCACATAGTCACTCCTCTGATATCTTTGGAGCTGCTGAAGTACCCCAAGCTTTGTCGTGATGTGAGTTGAGTCATTCACATCATACAAGAAATGGACTTGGGACTTTTTTTCTTTGGGTTCTGCTTGATGTTTACTCCCCCTCTTTTCTTTTTATCACTGCAGTACTTCTCCTTGCTGTCACATATGTTGGAAGTATATCCTGAAATGGTGGGACAACTAAACAAAGAAGCCTTTAGTCATATTCTTGAGACTCTTGAATTTGGTCTGCATCATCAGGTAATGCTTTCAGCTTTTCTTTGTGAAAGGATTTTCAGTCCTTTAGTGGCTATAAGTTGACGAGTCAATCGGAGAAAAGTTGTTTCTCATATATCTTTCTTTATTGCTCATGGCTCCAGTAAATGGCACCATCAAAATTGGCATTCTTCTCCATGGTGCTTAGTTGATATGCGTTTACTTTGGCTTGTGGCTTTATATCTTTCTGTAATGTGAAAATGTTACTTTCTCCACACGATTTAGGATTCGGAAGTGGTTAACATGTGTCTGAGAGCTCTTCGAGCACTTGCTTCCTACCACTACAAGGAAACAGCTAGTGGGAAGATGGGCTTGGGATCACATGCCTCGAGTCTTAGAAATCCAAAGGGCGAACTACAGGAAGGCATTTTTAGTCGGTTCCTCCGTACAACATTGCAGTTACTTCTTTTTGAGGATTATAGGTAGGGAACTCATCGATCTATTCCTTGTTAATGGAATATTGCTCGCTATCTCGTCTCACATTTAAAGTCTGCTGTTTCAGTCCCGATCTAGTTGGTGCTGCTGCAGATGCGCTCTTTCCCTTGATACTCTGTGAGCAAGGCCTATACCAGGTACATATGATGAATTGTTTAGTGCATAGTAACCAAAGTAGCATGTTAGATATTTAATGAAGATGATCTGCTGACTCTGCGTATTTTACAGAAACTAGGCAATGAGTTGATAGAGAGGCAGGCGAATCAAACATTTAAATCAAGGCTGACAAATGCATTGCAATCTCTCACAAGTTCGAATCAGCTTTCGTGCACACTCGATCGGATGAACTACCAAAGGTTTAGGAAGAACCTGACCAACTTCCTGATTGAAGTTCGTGGGTTCTTGAGGATAGTGTGATGAGTGCAGCAAGGTGTTAATCTCGTGTGTGGTGAGCGCTGTGGATGATGGAAGTTGCGGCTCCGAGAGAAGCTATAGTTTTTTGAAGTGGACAGCCTTCGTCGACACATTCATTGGCGTGTGCATAGACACAAAGACATACCTGCACATGAAGAACACATGGACACCATGGAATCTGCTGCTTAGGAAGGAGAAGTGCCGAAGGGGTATATTTGCTTCGGAGGGGGGTGTAAAATCATCAAAGATGATGTAGCAATTTTGTGCCATTTCTGTTATCATTTGTCTTGTAAATGAGCATAATCATTGTGTCAAACCACTTTTGAAAATAGTGTTCCTCCCTATGATTACTATTACTTTCATTGCATGCGCTATTTGTTCCAGCTCTTGAAACCTACACCTCTCTCTCTCTTTGCGTGTGTACTTGAGAATAAGATGTGCCGCTACTTAAAAACTGGGCTAACGCAACACTGAGTGCGAATGATAATCATTCTATTCCAGAAATCAATTTCTGGCTAAAAATTAATTTTTCTATTTTTATTTTATGGACGAGTTTTTTTGTCAAAATATCCGTTTAATAATGACAAGTTATATTCATGAAATAGAAATTCGTTTGATAATACAAAATTTCTTCATTCCCAGCAACCGACGGGCAGTGGCGGGAGGTGGTCGGTGTTGGGTGGCTATGGACGACAATGGGCAGCGGCAAAGGACGGTGGCGGGAGGGTGGCAGCCAATGGTGGGAGTTGGCCAGCATTGCATGACGGCGGCGCATGGTGGTGGGAGTGGGTCGGTGTCGAGCGGCGGCGGATGACAATGGGCGGCAGCGGAGGACGGTGGCAGGAGACGGCCAGCGGAGGACGGTGGCGGGAGGAGGTAGCCGGCGGGCGGCAACGGACGATGGGAGGTGGTCGACGTCGCACAACGGCGGAAGACTACAGACGGCTGCCGACAGCAAAGGATGGTGGTGGGAGTTGGCCAACGGACAACGGCCGACAATGGGAGGCGACTGGCGATGGTTGATGGCGGCCGTCGTTGGGCGGCAGCGGAGGAGGACGGGAGGAGGTGACCGACGAAGGACGGCAGAAGGTGGCTGGTGGGCTGTGGTGAATGGCGGTGGACAGTAGTGGCCAATGGTGGGAGGCGGATAGCGTCGAACGGTGGCGGAGGACGGCAGATGGCAAGCGGCGGTGGATGGCCGCCAGCAAGTGGTGGCAGACGGCTTTGGGAGGCAGTGGGACGCGGCCGGAGGCAGAGGACGGCGGCGAACGGCAACGAACGATGGTGGTGGGAGGCGGCCAGTGGCGGAGGGAGGTGACCGGCGGCGACGGCGGGCAGTGGGTGGGCAGTCTGCTAATAGCAAGGGCAAGCGATAAGATGAATTTTTATTTCTCATTTTTGTTCTAGAAATAGAAAAATAGATTTTTTTTACTTTTGATTTCTGTTCCAAACCTATTTCTGGAGTAGAAATTTGTTCCAGAAATAAAAAAAATGAAATTGCGTTACTAAACGGAGTTATGTTCTAAATCTATTCCCAGGAACAGAAAAATAGAAAAACAGAGAAACAGAATGGTTATCATTTGCGTCCTAAGCTAGTGGTATTTGCAGTGTTCCTTCGGGAAAAGGTACCAAAAAAAGCTATTTCAATTGTTTCAATTTAGTTCTAAAATGTTCAATTATACCAATTGAATCATAAACATTTTAACGATTTATCTATACACTATCTATCCAATTCTGGCTGAAAATTACTGACATTAACATCGGTTGTCACTAGCGGTAATTCAGACGAATTTTACAATTTTTTTTTTGAATTTTTTATAATGTTTTCTTTTCTTTTCTTTCTTTGTTTTTTTTTTTTTACAACTCTAGGCTAGCGGTGAGGTCGCTAGCCGACCCTTGCCTAATCTGGGCGAGGGCCGACACCCTCGTCTACTGGCACGGACAAGGGTGTCGCCTAACAGTAGGCAAGGGTTGTGGCCCTTTCATGGGATGCGGGCAAGAGTGGCCCTCGCCCAAATATCGCAAGCTCACGGTTGGGAAAAAAAGGAAAAGAAAAAGAAGAAAATGAAAAGTAACAACAAAATAAGTAAAAGAAATTTCAAAAAATTTGTTTACACTAGCACCGGCTATGTCACATAAAATGACGAGCGTTCATGACAAGGATTTTAGATCAAAATTAGCCCGGATGAATTATATTGACAAATCGTTGAAAGGTTTAAAATCGAACTAGCCCAAATACAAGATGTATATAACTTTTTTGCTACTTTTCTCTTACATTATTACGTGGTGTCCACTGTCCCTTACACAACATCCTAAACAATTTAAGACAGCATATAACTTGGGATTTCCAGGCATGGGAGATATATCCTATTTGTTCCCTCATCGACTTTCCAGAATCTGTAGAAAGTACTTTTTTAAGGATAAAAGCGCAGTCTCTAAAGTTAAAGGACAGCCTCTAGTGCGGCCGCTAAAGAGCTTACCACAGGTACCGCGTAATTGGGACGGCTTCATGTTCCACCCCTGAAGTGCTTCATTAGATACCCTCAATTCTCTTGCTATTCTCTGCCAAAGAGAGAACTTGGCGACTGGTCAAGCCCAGTCTCTGGTTTTCTAACGGACGGTTTCAAAGCCCCACCCGTAAGTAGTCTCTGTATAATAGCGATTCCGAAAAGCCGTTCCAGATGTAAACATAGGGAGCAGTTTCGACACCAAATGTGCCATAGCAATAACAAACCATATGCTGGCATTGGAGTTCAACGAAATGAAGTGAGATACAAGGAATGAAGCAACAGATTATCTGGACTAGCAAACTAGTGTAAAACAAAAAAGCCAACACAAAAAAACAAGGATTCAAAGGAATGCTACGTTCTGCAAGGTCAGTTGGGAATATAGTCACTGGAAAACACTGTGCATGTCCGGCATTCCTAGATAAAAATAATGGACATTGACAGTATGAAATGAATGTTCATGCAGACGGTCTGAGAACACTAAAACTGATGAGATGATGGAAATCGGGTAATTACATAATTTGATTTTGACTTCAATGTGCCCATGGATCACTAGATTTAATACACAGCGAGAAAAAACATCGAATCTTAAGATCACCGTCATAAAAATGAGTAAAAGTCATGTTCCAGAGCTATTTGTGAAATATCCCCTTCTTTGAAAGCTTTGGCTTCTTCTGACTATGATTCTGCCAGAATAAACAAGGGAGAAGTTAGCGGTGGAGTTGAGATCTGGGAAGGGGGAGAGAGGGATCAAGTTATGAATCTTAAGATACCTTATGTCGATCTAAAGCCTCGTAATCAGTTCTCTCCCTCCAGTTGCTTTTTCGGAGCTTAATTGGGCGATTCCCCACGTACTTACCTGAAATAACATGATTAAAAGCAATTCAATTCCTCACCCATGTATGTCGATGTCAAAGTAAGCCATATGGAGTTATGCCTAGTAAAATTTATTAGGTTCACAACAGACTGAAGGTTGATTCCAATTGCTCATTCTCATATAAGCCCGATCGGAAAAAACAATTTCCCATCTCATCATGTTATATGAGCAATCCTAGACTCAATAGGATTGTGGTTTACAATATTGGTTTACTAAATGATGTGTCAAACTATGAATAACCCTTCGACCTAAAAAAAAAAAAACTGTGAATAACCCTTTTAAGAAGTAGGCCATATTCAAGAATATGGTTTGACAGTCACTTGGTAAACCAATTTTATAAATAAGTCTTGCTAATTGTAGCATTTTCCATAATACACTCAAGTGGTGGAGCTTGTAATTGAACATAAAAAATCAAGTCCAACAGTGTCCACACAACAAAATCGACTATACAGCAGAGTAGTGATTCTTGTTATACAGAAACCCAAAATCTTTAAGAAGAAACTAAAGGATTTTCATAAAAGGCCTAAAAACAAGAAGATCACAAATCTAAACAAAATCACAAATCTAATAACATGAGTTTAGTTCATGAGACAAAATCATCTAGGCCTCGTTGAGAAAAAGATTTACTTAGAGCAGCAATCTTGAAAGTACAATCCCTCCTCTATGTTAGGTGGTTTACAAGGGAAACAATTTATTGCCTCCGAAACTGTTGCCATGGTAATCATGTGAAAGACCTCCAGATATGAATATTCAAATGCTAACAAAATAAAAGATAAAAAAAACTATGTACTTTCAATAATGCTACAAGAACTAGACCATGGCCTTTCAATTGCTTACTAAACACTCCAAAATGTATAGATCCAATAGTCATTGAAAAAGATAAACATACCATTCATCTCCTTGAGTGCAGCAGCAAGGTCAGTTGGGTTGGCAAAGCTAACAAATCCATAGCCCTTGGTTTTACCTGTCCGCTTGTCTCTGACAACCTAAATTTAACAGATTTTGCATAAGCATTTAGAACTTTTCTCCACAGGAGGATTCAGCAAATAGGCATTGGATCGCAAATATATGATTCACTCAACATAAAAGAAAAAACTTGAACAGTCCAAAGCATAGAAATGAGTTCCAACAAGCTTATAGCTACAGAAAAGGACAAATTACCCACCAACACAGCAAAGAAACAACCAAAACCAAAAATAATCAACCATGTGAAAGGGAGTTAAGTTATTTACTTTGGAACATCCGCATTTCTATCTTGAATAATAGCAGATATAGGAAAGGTAGCCAGAAACTTAGTCCTCTCGGACACGTATATTGGCAGAGAAATTAAATCTCCGATTAACTAAGAAGGATTCAAGTATCCAAATGAGGTACTCAGGAAGAGTTGCACAAATAGTACCCCACTATTTTTGTTCCATAAATTTGCAAAATGAGCTACGCTTTTCAGGAATTTCATCCAAAGAAAAAACCATGGAAGATACATAAGCCATATACAGGAAAATGTGGAAGAACTTGCACAGTTAAATAACGCATCTATTGCAATATGTTCTACAAACACCATCTAAATCTTGTATTTGGAACCAATCAGGACAGAGCAATCTCTGAGTAGTGAGTAGCCTATCCTGTCAAGCATCAATAGTACAATGCATTCAAAGCAGCGGATCTAACTATAGCACATCTAAAGCTCATAGGTGTGAAATGAGTTCGCCTATTTAATGAGCCACACCAAGCTTTTGTGGCGACATAGGCACAACTAATACCGAGTTAAATATTTCAGTCATATTGCCTTATCAAGTTGTCATGTGCACTTGAACTAACCTTCTAAAGAACTCAGGATAATGAGATGGACCAATTTTGCAAAGAGTTATCAATCTATTTACACTAGTAAAAGACATGCGTAATGTAGACACCCGATGAACTTCTACCTAGCATGAACTAATAGGGATGTATACTTGAGCAACGCAACAATGAGCATAACCTACCTTAAAACAGATAAAACAACAGAATTGCTCTGAGTTCTTCAAACAAAAATCTGAAGCAAAAAACGCAACATCTTCACTCAACAGGTCATAAACACCAAAAGCAATTCGTAGGGAACTGAAAATATCAATCTTTCAGGAACATACCCTGGCCATGTTAAAGGAAGGAAATCTCGAAAAGGCTTTTGAAAGTACATCATCATTCACCTCATTACCAAGGTCACCACAAAACAATCGATAATCATCTGCAAGTACCAAGACAATGACAAGAGGTTAGTACGTCGCCAAGTGACAAAGAAGGAAATTGTATATCCAGTACCTGACTAAAAGTGAATAACCACACAAAACAAGTAGAAGCTACATGCATTTAAATACTCCTATGCTTGAAAAATGAAGAGAACAACAATTCCAGAACAATTAGTGGGCAGACTACTTCCTGTGAATGGCATAAACCAGGAACCATAGATGCTATAAAACAGTTGATGTGCTTTGCCATGGACTGAGTAAAGGGATATACTGTTACTGCATAGCATGCAAAAATATATAATTAAGCATGCAATTCAATCCTCATGTTACCAGCAGCTAATTCGAGGGCGTAAACAAGAACTTTGACAGGTTAAGAATATATTCAAGAGGCTACGTAGCAGCAGCAAACTAAATTCTCCAGCTGGGATCTTTAGAAACAAATTTACTTAAACTAGATGGAACTCAAAATGCATAAGACCAGAGCACTTTCACCAGCCAATCTCAAAGTCCAAATAACCAATCAACCATTTCCAGTTTTCCAGAGGAGAAGTGAAGGATACAGCTCCTACACCTAAATGCTAAAACAATTCAAACCGAAAGAAGCTTAAACTCTACTCAAGAACCTCTAAATCTCTCGAGTTTGCCATAAAAAAAAGGACTCGCACACAATGCAAACTTTTGAATGAATCATGCTAAGCCACACCGACACATACAAGACAAATGCCAATATAAGTCGAGACAAAGGGAACGGTTGTTCATACTTTCAGGCCATTCCGAAAGTGTTGGATCCTCCCACGACTGCCCAGCCGCCTTACGAGGTATCGCTTTCTTCTTGGCTTCCGCTTTGTGTTCGATGTCGCTGCTGGCAAGAGCAGCTTTCACACTCTCAAGTGCTTCGGGCGTAATAATCTGCGCATCCTTTTGGAACAATTGCTGCGCCTTCGCATACAAAACGAAAACTTTTGAAAAGGATCCAACATCTATGTAGGCGCCCCACCTTTTGTTATTTGGTATCCACCATTAACATAAAGAAATTGCGTAAAAACCCTTCAAGTTCGATCAAATTGTCGACAAAATCAAAACTTTCCCCCCGCAGAAGAAACTACGTTTACGCCTCTCTACAACCAACACTTCCCATCCACTCTCTACCAGCTAAAACATTCCAGCTCATAACTCCAGACACAAAAAAGCTAAATTTTAAACAAGAAACTAACAGAATCCTTCAATTAAACCAGCGCTTCAGCTTTCCCAGCAACGACAATCGACGCGGATCAAACTCACCTGCTGAAACTGAGGGAGGGTATAGACGCCGGCGATCGGCGCGGGGGGCGGGGGAGCGGGGTAGACAGGGCCGGCGTAGGCCGTCGCGCCGGCGGCGGCGGGGGGCGGCGGGGGAGGCGGGGCGGCTGCGGCTGCGGCGGCGGGGGCGTAGGACGGCGGCGCCGAGGGCTGCTGGAGGTGGAAGGGGAGGGGGAAGTAGGAGGATCCGGTCTGGTAGGTGAACTGGGAGGAGGAGGAGGAGGAGGCGGAGGCGGCGGCGGAGGAGGAGGACGGAGGCGGCGTCGACATGGAAGAGGAGCGATCGAGAAAGATCCAAAAATCGATCGAAAAGCTCGAGCCTTTACGGAGAGGATTTGGGGGAGATTTTCTAGGGTTTCTCCGCGGCACTATCCCGGCAGCGTAACTCCTATCGATGTCCCGACGTATCCCGACTGTCGATTCGTACCTCTTCTTTGACGTCCCCGTCCCTCCCACGGAGGCGATGTCGGCCCGACCAGCGGGCCTTAAGCGTTTGGGCCCGACGTAAGTTTCTGATGGGCCCATTTATGGGTCACGTGTCGCGGGCTTTTCTCAAACTGCGGCGCTGGTCCATCCTATCCTCACGCACTGGCCGAAACTACATTAAAAGATAGATAGAAGCTAGTCCCACTACCATCTACACGCCGCTTCACTTGGCGTCTTAACTTTGTTTTCAACCGTCGAGGCATGTGAATGAGATGCGTATCGACGGTCGAGAAATGTCGAGACGTACATAGGAACAAAGATGTCAACGGATCGGTAGAACGTTCGGGCACGTATGTTCTGTCCCGACCTGGCAATGTCGAGTTGGTTTGGTTTCGTCCGGGCCGAGTTTCAAATCGAACATTGGTTATATTGTTTTTTAAGATGTTTGATAATATTTTAGATAGAATAAAGTAAAGAAAAGAGAGCTATTTCAGTAATTTAATGAATTGTTTTAGAAGTTTGTGCTTATTGCTTTAACGACTAAGAGAGAGAAACGCTACTGCAAAGAGAGGGAGAGAGAGCAAATCATCTAACTACCACTCGACGCGTCCTCAACAACGTTCGCCGGCGCCCCCCCCGACCCTCTCTCTCTCTCTCTTCCTGGAGTATGAGAGATACAATTGATGAGAGCCTTAGGGCGCGAATGGTAACCATTCTATTCCAGAAATCAAGTTGTTACCAGAAATTGATTTATGGAATTCTTTCCAGAAATCGATTTTTGGAGGATAAATCTGTTTGATAAAACATGACTAATTCTGCTCCAAAAATTGATTTCTGGAACAGAAATCTGTTTTGATTTGTTGATTTTTTTTTCACCTAAAAAAAATTAAATTTCACTTAAAGTGGGTGGCCACAGGTATTCTAAGCCATTTTGTGAAGTTTTAAATTTTTTTTATTTTTTGATTTTTATGGGTACCTCAAAAAATTTAAATTTCACTCAAAGTGGGTGGCCAAAGGTATTCTAAGCCATTTTGTGAAGTTTTGAAATTTTTTATTTTTTTTGGGCACCTCAAAAAAATTAAATTTCACTTAAAATGGGTGGCCACATGTATTCTTAAGCCATTATGTGAAGTTTTGAAATTTTTGATTTTTTTATTTTTTTGGACACCTAAAAAAATTTAAATTTCACTCAAGGGTAGCTACATGTGTTTTAAGCCATTCTGTGAAGTTTTGAAATTTTTGATTTTTTTATATTTTTTGAAAATAATTCACCAAATTTCCTATATTCCCGAAATCTGACTTTTTTTTATTTTCTGGAAATTTTTCTGGAATATTTCAATTTTTAGGCATTTTCTGAAAGAAAAAATTAGTGAGATCTCAAAATGTGTTGTAAAGGCCACGAAAAAGAGAGAATAGAGGGAGAATGCATTCTGGAAGAGAGAAGCTACTAAGGGTGCGCATGGAATCCATTATGGAGCAGAAATATTTTTTAAAAACAATTTATATCTAAATATTTTAATAAACAGTAAAATATTTTTCATTCATTCACTTTTTAAAGTGATACGAACGATCATATTTAGGAACATATTTTCTTAATCATTTATTTTTTGTGAAATAAATGGAGCTATATTAAATTTGTTTGGGAAGACTGAGATGAGAGGAAATGGAATAGAATGTGAAATTTTTGTAAGTAAGACGAGAAGAAAGATGGAATTTCAAAATTATCTCTCTCTCCCTTCTCCCGTAGATGCAGTGAAAACGATGTGAGTATACACTCGCAACACGCACGAAAGGCCCACATGCACAAACCAAAAAAAAAAAAATTTCTTAATACATTTTTCGATTCCATGTCAAAAGTTGGCTTACGTAAGAGACTAATACTGATTTAAGAACCTAAAATTTTTAGGAAAACCCGACAAAAGATGTATTTCTATATTCGAGTGCCCGAGTGTGAAGTCCTAACTGCTGTAGGCCAATGCAACAACCTATAAGTCTTATAAGTCCTACGAGAGCCTCCGCGGCCTATCTCCATCTTGTGAGGCGAGCTATACGGACGTGTTCCTTATTTTAACATGCTAGTACCCGCATGCCTCACACCTCAATTCCCCCTATATCTTTATCTTTTTCGAGAAGAAGGAATACCCTTTGGGAATTTTACATCTCGGTGACCTCAAGGTCTGGATGAGGATTGAGACTGAGCATTTTAAGGACTTGCTCAGCGCCTGAAAAACTAACTGCTCTAGGCCAATGCAACAACCCGTGAGTCCTATGAACCGATAGGTCTTTGGCCTGTGTAAATGGCTTTGTTGCACGCTTCTGTTGGTGAAATACAAACGGGATACTTTTAACTCTTGAGTTGGAGGTCCCGCAACACCTTAATCAATTGCGCCAAACCTCGAAAAAAAAAACTATTCGAAATGAAAATCCCAAAATATATCATCTAACATCTAATCACAATAATTATTTGAAAGGAAATAACATCACCTAAAATATTTAAATAAGAAATTGTACGCATAAGTAAATAAAACAAAATTGCAAATATGGATGACCCACTTTTGCACGGTGATCCACGCGCCTTATCACACGGAAATTTTTTAATGCAGGTTTCATTTGTCTCGCGAAAAAATAAACAATTTAAAATATATTTTCTTAAAGTGATAGCTTGTATCGCTCGAAGATATTAACCAATTAATATTTTTGAGTCTTCAAGAATGACGTACTTTGCACGGTGATGCACACACTTTTCCCCACAAGAGATTTTTTAATGTATGTTCCGTTTGTTTCGCGAAAAACGAATAATTTGAAATATATTTTCTTAAAACGATCGCTTGTCTCACTTGGAGTTATTAACCAATTATTATTTTCATTATGGATAATAACTTATATTTAAACATTTTCGCGTACGTGAAAATATTTTTTAATTTATTCATTTTTGTAAGCGACATCAGCGATTATTTTTATAATAATATTTTTCAAATCATTCATTTTTCGCGAAACAAATGAAGTCTTATTAGTAATTGATCCTTCAAAGTTCTATGATAGAGAATTGTTTTCTGCAAAGTTGACTTCGGCAAATTTTCCTACTTAACGAGAATTATCACCGAAAGGGTGATAAGCTATCGAGGAAATGGATGATAAGTTATCGCAGGGGAACGATGAGTTATCGGTTTTTTATTTGATAACTTATCGCGAAGGAGCGACAAGTTATCGGTTTTTATTTGATAAGTTATCGCAATAGGGCGATAAGTGATTGTTATATGTGGTTTGTACTTGAATTATATAATAATTCTGTGTATATTTCATATGGTTTAGAGCTTGTTATGCCATGAAATGTGATTGCCCATTTTATAAACCTTGGATTTTATTTTTAAAGAAAGGTTTTATGGACATATAAGTGGAAATTCCCGAGGTGTCGGGTTTATATGTCCGGTTTTATGAGTTAAATGGGGCAACGATGTTTAAAAAGGAAATCGTGCAAAGTTTGATGGGTTGATTGTGTGTATGTGATCACGTGTGAATTTATTTCTGCATTTTTATGTGTGGAAGTTACAGTAATTTATTGTGTGAGCACAAACCACGTTTGCATTTGGCTAAATGCTCATATATAAATGAGTTGTGTAGTTGTTATGCTTGTGTGATCACATAAAAGAACCCATCACCCAACGGGGGTCTAGGGATGTTGCCTGATTAAGTTCGGATGCCCGGTGGGGTCCGGATGCCGAGTCGCGGTTGAGGCTGGGCCGATACTCTTAATTGAATGCCATCTGGATGGGGGTTCCAGATGATACTGTGCCCGATGAGACTGGACGATGCTCGATCATGCTGGAAGATTGCCAACTTGAGGCATTTTATGCGGGTTGTGCCGTGGCCGTGTGAGGTTGTAATAATTAGAATACGCATGATTGCATAGCGCCTGATTATGGGGTAAAAACTACGAGGCACTGTATGGGATGGGCCAAAGTGGGTTTTACCTTATAATCGGGACACGTGAGTTTGTGAAAGTTTCTATGTGTTCCGATTATCTATATGCTGATTGTATCGTTGTGACATGTACTGAGTTATATCGTGCAGGGCGTATGTGCCAATACAAGATAAGAATGCATGTGGTGATTCGATAGCTTGCTTATTTATGCAGGATTGTATTGCCTGCTTGTGTATATAGTTAGGGCAAAGCAGGGGCTACTTTTCTATTGATCTGCCATCGATGTATTGCTGCGTGTTTAGGTGTACCCGAGGCGAGTTGACTTCCTAAACGAGGCTTAGGTCGTTCACTTGCTGAGATTTTATATCTCATTCGTTGTTGTTAACCCTTTTTTCAGACCCTGAGCATAAATGTCCCTTACCACCACATGCGTTTGGGGGTCTCTGTGGCCTTAGAGCTGGAGGTGTCGGTGTACACTACTGTGGGCAATGTGGCGTCCTTCCAGAAGCACACCACGACGGTGTGGATGAAGCAAGGACCGGAGCAGTTGGTTCCCTATCGCTATGTGGCCTGTGGCCTGGTTCATCTTGCTGGATGGAGACCTCCTTGGCCCCTTTCAAGAGGTCAACAGGGTGCTGTCTTGAACTGGTCACCTGGTGTGGGTGGACCCGTGTCTTTTTGTTAGAGGAGCTAGGCCAACCCCAACACCCTTTTTGCTGTTGTTATAATCGGGAAGGTCTGTGTGGCGGACTTGTAATATATTAATCCCTCATGTATTGCTGATAATGTGTGTGTGTGTGTGTGTATATATGTTGTATGTTTTCCTTACTATTCATGTTGTTGTTGTTTGGAGATGTTGTGCTTCCGCTTGAGTTTAACTAAAAGATAAAACGAATTGGTCGGTGACGTATCATGGGACATCGCAATTCCAAGACCCAAGGAAGGATGTTCGCGCGCTCGAGGGTCAGGGGCGTGACAAAAGTCAAATGAAAAGTAAGTGAGATAATCTTAAGGAAGAATGAAGAAGATTGAAGACAT